TCATATTAATTTTTACGTAAATTTTGGGATTCTTGTTTTTAAGGCTGTTTTGTTCCACCTAAGTATGAGTCTAACTTAATTCTATTCAGGAGGTTCTCTAAAGATGATATTTTATTTGAAGAATTCAAGAGCCTAAACTGTGCATGATTCGCCTCTCCAAACAAATCTAAAGAAACTTATATTACAGCACGGCTCTATACACGTGGTATCCGAGTGACGTAGTCACGAGGTACTGTCACGTGGTATGACCCGTAATAGTTCTTAGCCATTTAGAGGGCTGATACAGTATACACCCTTGTGTATCAGTGTTTTTTTTACTTCCTTCCACGCTTCAACCTGGAGCTCGCCTGTCATTGATACTTATGAAAATACAGTACGTTTATAAGGGAGGTCACATGAACAACACCAAGCATCCATTGATATGTTAAAAAATCGCCACATGATACCCAGATGTCCTGCACGCTACCTGTCAGATGGAAGGCCTCTCATTGGACAATGAACACTTTTGTAGGTGTGAAAAATCAGTTTTTCGGTAGTTTCGACCTCTTAATTAACTCCAAATTTGGTCGCAAACGGTAAGTATCACCGCGATCTTGAGCCGTGCTGTAAGTAAATTATAAAACTGCTGACAAAACTCGTGCCTTCGGCACTCGTTAGGTCAGCAGTTCTATAACTAACCTTATGCCCTCGGAAGTGGCATTGTTGCTTGCAATCACATATATTTTCATACCTAAAGAAAAAACTGGAGACTTTTGAGTTATATTAACTTCCGGTATCTCCTTTCCCAAATATTCGACAAATTTACACACGATAAGATAATGCTGTAGATCTTAAAGTTCGGGCTATTTGCCTGGAATTATCTTGATATCGAGTTTTGTGGTCCTAGCTTTGATGATGGCAAGTAGAAAACATTATGCATGCTCCAAATTTGTTAACTTCTGCCATCGATTACAATCGCTCCTTCGATGGAGTGGGTACTGCCTCTCCAATGTAGAGAAGAGTTTAGGTTAGAACTCAAATGTCCATACTTTGTCAGTTTAAATAGTTGACTGTTGGTTGTATAGATTGCTTTATTTACACTCATTTCACCGGTGACGAGCGTCACACTGGCCATGAAGAACCACCCCGTATATTAGGGCTTTCAAGATGGGAATAAAAAATATGATTTTAAATTTTAAATCCTCTTTAAATGTGCATTTCCGTTCTCTATTAAATAAATCATCGCGTTCTCATTATAGGTTTTCCCTACCATGATTGTTTTGAAGATCGTAAAGCTACTAGTCATATCTACTATTTATGGTATTGTAGCTTCAAACAACAGTGAAGGTAAGTGAGCTTGGATTACAGTTTATTGCATATCTTTTCAAGAATGTTTTGCGCTTTTACTGTAACGAGCAGCTTATTAAACCATACAAAATCCATCCACGATCTATTTTTGTTTGACATCCAATAGTCGATTGTAAAAAATTGGCAGGGAAATAATTAAATTTACTATCATTCACTGCTCAGGTAACTCTACAGATAAAATAAAATGTGAAAAGGTAGCTGGACAACGATTCTGCAACATAACAGTCATTTGGAAACCGCGTGTCAGTAAAACATGGGGAATGCTGGCTATGATTCTGCCAGTTCTCTATGCTGTATTGATGATTTTGTATTTCTTTGTTTCCGTAGCGTCCAGTTGTCCGTCTTCTGTCTGCATCTTTGCTATTTTCACAGAAAGTTCTTCGTCTTCTGTCTGCACCTTACCATCTATGGTAAACTTACTGCGACCTTTTTTTCTTTAACAAGAAATTCCGATTTTTCATCCTCTATTTGACACTCTCTATTCTTTGCCTCCATTGAACAAAGTTCTTCGGTCTCTCTCTGGACCTCGTAGGATATATAAAATTTAGTGTACTTTTTAGATTCTTTTGCAGCGTGCAATCTGGCCTTCCTCTGCACCATCGCCTGGTGTTTATCCTTCATATTTGTCCAGAAGGTGGCGATAAGTTTCTTATAGACGGTAACCAACAAATAGGAGACGAAAAGGTTAAGCATCACAGTAAGTTTCGAATTGACGGTGAATCTCAAGTAATCAAAGTAAAGGGAAGCAAAAAGAAGATAAAGAATGCCATAATAGAAAGTGTCCACCCAGGGCGCAAAACAAGTCCCTGGGAGTTCATAAGGAGCACCTATAGGACAAACAACCGTTTGTTGTACGCAAAGAAATATGACATCATATATAACACAACATCCGAAAGCATCGAGTACGAGCAGGTGAAGAAGAACATCAAGGACGGGAAACGTGCTGTAAAGCTGGGAGTAAAAAAAACACAGCAAATTTGTTGACATTGAAGGGCAAAAATGTACAATATCTACAGAAGGTAAGGTATATGGGAAGAATATAAAGGAGGAGATGAAAGAGGAGTTATTGGGTAAAAGTGTGACTGTGGGGGGGGGGGGGGGACTGACAGATCTGGTCGTGAATTCAAAGAAGAGGCAACATTAGCTGATCTACAAACAGTAAATAAGCACAAGAAACTTCTTTGTGGACTAATAAAGCTGCCGCTAATTTGCGCAAATTCATCACTTGTTGCAAAGCTTATAATGGCACCACTTTTTGCTATTGTATGGGATGTAGTAGATATTGGTTTTGACACAAATTATTATTACCGCCTAGAGCATGGTGGACTAGTGCATCCTTCTATATTCCTGAACACCACGGTTATTGATGGTATACTAGTATTTGCTTGTGTAGGTGCCATCAAAAGCACTTTACTTGCTTTTTGTTATCTTATTGTTGTGCAGAATAACGAAAGGGAGAGAGAGGCTCACAGCACTGTGCTGTTAGCTTCTATGTTTGCAGTTTCAATTAAATTACTGCTAGAAGACGCTCCTGAATTAGTGCTGGAGTATTTTTATGTAGACAAATACATTGTACATTGTACATTGTACAAATACATTGTACATTGTCGATAAACCTCCTTGGAGTTATGTTTTTAAAGACGCAATAACTGCATTGATTTACATTTTTCCTTTGGTAAAGATTATATTCTCAGGTGTTAAAGATTTTAATACAATTAAAGATGATAAGAGTAAAATGGTTTATTTTATTTACATTCCGACGACATCCGCAAGAGGATTTATGAGTCTAGCAATGATATTTAGAATAATTGGGATGATTATCCAGTACATGGGTATCACTGTTGAGAGACGATGTTTTGTTGAATCAAATAACATGCTACAACAAACACCTTTTGAAAAAGGTTGCTTAAGCTGGTGTGATTGGCTAATACTTGTCCTGATTGGGCTAACTATAATTTCAGCAATACTACCAGCTATATATGGTCCTGCTTCCATATTTCTTGTTATTTGTGATCTTAATCTGGCCAATTTAATGATCCGATGTGATTGTTGCAAGAGAAAATACAGCGAGGACGTAGAAAGTATACTGCCGCTAACTTCTCCTACTTTTATTTCTCATATTTGATGACATATTTGATGACATCATCATTATAATTCATATTTATAATTCATATTTATAATTCATATTTATAATTCTATCATTTTTTGGATAGATAGTTGGATCCTCATACTATGATGTCTACTATTTTCAGATTCAGTTCATTATGTGGGTGTGCTGTTATTAAAAGTTTGATTTTTTCAAAAATAATTTCTATTCTATTATTCACTAAGTCAACTTCAAAAACCAAACTCGTTAAAATCAAAATACGACTGTAGAACTTTGTTTGCGTTATTCAGATAAATTATCCGTGATATGGTTTATACTATTAAATACAACTGTAGAACTATGCGTAATTCAGATAAATTATCAGTGGTTTTATACTATTACTTATACTGAGAGATTACTGAGAAATTACTGAAATCTGATAAATGATAGTTATAAAAGCAAATATCACCGAACGTAACCATGGTAACGTGACGTCTGACCAATGTAAAGATTGGTATGGTGGCTCGCTAGTACTGGAATTTGGACAATTGACAACAGTTAAATAAATACATAATTAAATTCTGATTTGTTATTATTTAATTGGTTTTTGGATTGCTGTTTTTGGGTAAAATTTCTTCAGACATCCAAATAATTTAATGTATAGTTTTTGAACGAGATTATCATCTGTTATCTATCTGTAACTCGCACGTTTTTACTTTTTCACATTCATTCCTCACATTTTACAAGCAGTTAAACACGCATTATAGACACTCCAAGTAAAATAAACTGTCTCTTATAATGTCACGTCAGGTTTACTAAGAGCATAAATATACTTAACTATGTACACTCACCTGTTAGAAATATACACACATTTTCATCAGGTCAAATCAGATGCTCCTAGCCAAAAAAACCATCAATGGTTAACAAAAAGATTCCTATATTACAACAAAAAACATGCAAAATATGATACATCCGGGCTTAAATTAAATACAGTTCAAGAGTTGTGTAACCCCTCGTTTTGTTATACAACCAAATATAAACTGTCAACAAAAATAAAATAAAATTGTATATAAAATTCTCGCAAAAAGTTTCTCAATTAATTTTCTCTCTACAATTCACACTGGTGCGCGCTTGCTTTTTCTCCCCTCATTTTCCAGCAATGTATTCTGGAGTAGTTTAAACCTCACACACATCATACTATCACGTGACATGCACGCACTGTAGCACTGTATCACGTGACATGCACGCACTGCAGCACACTGTTAATTCTGACACACTCTCATTCGTGCTCTGGTTTAATCCTAGAAATAGGTTCACTCTAGGGTTACAATTACCAGGGTTACAGTTACCAGGGTTCACTCTAGGGTTATGTCCACAGGTTTGCGTATTAGGCTATATTGGCTTTTTGGAGTCGTGTTTGGTTATCAAGACAATAATGTTAAAATTATGATGCTCACATATGGTAATCCTAACAAGACGTGATCCTAACAAATACAATTATGTATAAATGAGCTCACTGAAAGTGAAACTACTCACAGAAAGTGAAAGTGAAAGTGAAACTACTCACGTCTTTGGAAACATCCTTCCTCTTCTCCAAGTTCTTGACCGGGTTAGACGAGGGTGCGCGTCTGTTAGGACCTCGCACAGAGCGCTTAGACTCCGTCATACTGCTCCTGTGGGGAGGAGAGTGTTAATACAGTGCAGTGTTAATACAGTGCAGTGTTAATACAGTGCAGTGTTAATACAGTACAGTGATAATACAATGCAGTGTTAATACAGTGCAGTGTTAATACAGTGCAGTGTTAAGACAGTGCAGTGTTAATACAGTGCAGTGTTAATACAGTGCAGTGTTAATACAGTGCAGTGTTAATACAGTGCAGTGTTAATACAGTGCAGTGTTAATACAGTGCAGTGTTAATACAGTGCAGTGTTAATACAGTGCAGTGTTAATACAGTGCAGTGTTAATACAGTGCAGTGATAATACAGTGCAGTGATAATACAGTGCAGTGATAATACAGTGCAGTGATAATACAGTGCAGTGTTAATACAGTGCAGTGATAATACAGTGCAGTGTTAATACAGTGCAGTGATAATACAGTGCAGTGTTAATACAGTGCAGTGATAATACAGTGCAGTGTTAATACAGTGCAGTGTTAATACAGTGCAGTGTTAATACAGTGCAGTGTTAATACAGTGCAGTGTTAATACAGTGCAGTGTTAATACAGTGCAGTGTTAATACAGTGCAGTGTTAATACAGTGCAGTGTTAATACAGTGCAGTGATAATACAGTGCAGTGTTAATACAGTGCAGTGTTAATACAGTGCAGTGTTAATACAGTGCAGTGTTAATACAGTGCAGTGTTAATACAGTGCAGTGTTAATACAGTGCAGTGTTAATACAGTGCAGTGTTAATACAGTGCAGTGTTAATACAGTGCAGTGTTAATACAGTGCAGTGTTAATACAGTGCAGTGTTAATACAGTGCAGTGTTAATACAGTGCAGTGTTAATACAGTGCAGTGTTAATACAGTGCAGTGTTAATACAGTGCAGTGTTAATACAGTGCAGTGTTAATACAGTGCAGTGTTAATACAGTGCAGTGTTAATACAGTGCAGTGTTAATACAGTGCAGTGTTAATACAGTGCAGTGTTAATACAGTGCAGTGTTAATACAGTGCAGTGTTAATACAGTGCAGTGTTAATACAGTGCAGTGTTAATACAGTGCAGTGTTAATACAGTGCAGTGTTAATACAGTGCAGTGTTAATACAGTGCAGTGTTAATACAGTGCAGTGTTAATACAGTGCAGTGTTAATACAGTGCAGTGTTAATACAGTGCAGTGTTAATACAGTGCAGTGATAATACAGTGCAGTGATAATACAGTGCAGTGTTAATACAGTGCAGTGTTAATACAGTGCAGTGTTAATACAGTGCAGTGTTAATACAGTGCAGTGATAATACAGTGCAGTGATAATACAGTGCAGTGTTAATACAGTGCAGTGTTAATACAGTGCAGTGTTAATACAGTGCAGTGTTAATACAGTGCAGTGTTAATACAGTGCAGTGTTAATACAGTGCAGTGTTAATACAGTGCAGTGTTAATACAGTGCAGTGTTAATACAGTGCAGTGTTAATACAGTGCAGTGTTAATACAGTGCAGTGTTAATACAGTGCAGTGTTAATACAGTGCAGTGTTAATACAGTGCAGTGTTAATACAGTGCAGTGTTAATACAGTGCAGTGTTAATACAGTGCAGTGTTAATACAGTGCAGTGTTAATACAGTGCAGTGTTAATACAGTGCAGTGTTAATACAGTGCAGTGTTAATACAGTGCAGTGTTAATACAGTGCAGTGTTAATACAGTGCAGTGTTAATACAGTGCAGTGTTAATACAGTGCAGTGTTAATACAGTGCAGTGTTAATACAGTGCAGTGTTAATACAGTGCAGTGTTAATACAGTGCAGTGTTAATACAGTGCAGTGTTAATACAGTGCAGTGTTAATACAGTGCAGTGTTAATACAGTGCAGTGTTAATACAGTGCAGTGTTAATACAGTGCAGTGTTAATACAGTGCAGTGATAATACAGTGCAGTGTTAATACAGTGCAGTGATAATACAGTGCAGTGATAATACAGTGCAGTGTTAATACAGTGCAGTGTTAATACAGTGCAGTGTTAATACAGTGCAGTGTTAATACAGTGCAGTGTTAATACAGTGCAGTGATAATACAGTGCAGTGATAATACAGTGCAGTGTTAATACAGTGCAGTGTTAATACAGTGCAGTGTTAATACAGTGCAGTGTTAATACAGTGCAGTGTTAATACAGTGCAGTGTTAATACAGTGCAGTGTTAATACAGTGCAGTGATAATACAGTGCAGTGTTAATACAGTGCAGTGTTAATACAGTGCAGTGTTAATACAGTGCAGTGTTAATACAGTGCAGTGTTAATACAGTGCAGTGTTAATACAGTGCAGTGTTAATACAGTGCAGTGTTAATACAGTGCAGTGATAATACAGTGCAGTGTTAATACAGTGCAGTGTTAATACAGTGCAGTGTTAATACAGTGCAGTGTTAATACAGTGCAGTGTTAATACAGTGCAGTGATAATACAGTGCAGTGTTAATACAGTGCAGTGTTAATACAGTGCAGTGTTAATACAGTGCAGTGTTAATACAGTGCAGTGTTAATACAGTGCAGTGTTAATACAGTGCAGTGTTAATACAGTGCAGTGTTAATACAGTGCAGTGTTAATACAGTGCAGTGTTAATACAGTGCAGTGATAATACAGTGCAGTGTTAATACAGTGCAGTGATAATACAGTGCAGTGTTAATACAGTGCAGTGTTAATACAGTGCAGTGTTAATACAGTGCAGTGATAATACAGTGCAGTGTTAATACAGTGTAGTGATAATACAGTGCAGTGTTAATACAGTGCAGTCCGTGCCTGGTGTTAGAGCTTTAGAGTATTTCCAAACACAGTGGCTACTCACTACCATCTTTATTTGTACTGTTAAATCTACGAGCAGGCTGTTTGAATAGTGAATATTGGCAATGTCGAGACAGGGACAAGGATTGATACACAGCGCTATAACTTAGGGAGAATCACCTCTTTTCACAGACCATGACTTCTCCGAATACCACAACTAAATCTGCCGAAAGAAAAGGTTCCTGAACGAACTCTTATCAAACGAATAGACAGCTAACTAGAAACAATATACAGAATTAACACTGCAGTTGATGAGTAGATATCCACGATGAGAGCTAACAAACAGTTCACTAATAGTTCATAACAAGTCTGCACGTGCAACTAAGTAGGATGTGAGACTACAATGGTAGCTTGGTTACCAGTCTCTCTATCTCCAATACACCAGTACACATAGTGAGCATGCTGCTATTGGGTGCTTACTTCCTGCTAGACAGTTTGAACCAGACAGCTTTCTATTTGTACACCAGGGTAGAACCTATAACCTCAACAATTATAGCGTGTTCTAGGTGTTGAGTAGCTGAGTGTTGTCTGTTCTAACACTACAACACTACAACACTACAACACTACAACACTCAATAAAAACAAACTTCCTTTCGCGTGTTTACCCCCACAGTACACTTAAGACACGTATTTTATAGGATCAGGGGTCAAATTATAGCACAGGTTATTCCATTTTATCCTATTAACCCCCGGGGTAGTAGTTCACAGTAGTTGTCATGAGAACCAGTTACCAGGGTTACAGTTATCAAGGTTACAGTTACCAGGGTTACAGTTATCAGGGAGTCAGGGTTACAGTTACCAGGGTTACAGTTACCAGGGTTACAGTTACCAGGGTTACAGTTACCAGGGTTACAGTTACCAGGGTTACAGTTACCAGGGTTACAGTTACCAGGGTTACAGTTACCAGGGTTACAGTTACCATGGTTACTGTTACCATGGTTACAGTTACCATGGTTACAGTTACCATGGTTACAGTTACCATGGTTACAGTTACCATGGTTACAGTTACCACGGTTACAGTTACCATGGTTACAGTTACCATGGTTACAGTTACCAGGGTTACAGTTACCAGGGTTACAGTAACTAGGGTTACAGTTCAAGTAATAGAACAGCATCTTCTTCTATTTCATGTTCTATAGTGATCCAATCTGTACGTGTTTATTCAAATTTTCCATTATGCACAATATGCAGATATACTGATTCAGCTCCCAGTTTTACAGTTTCCTCCCAATGTTATCAGCATATATTGTGACAGAGCTGCTGACATATCGCACCTATCACCATCAGGTTTGCAACTTACTTACAGTGCATGGAACGTATTTCTCACGTACTTCATACTACCAAATAAGGTAACGTTGTCATGACTACACTACCATATAAAGTAAACACTGCCATTTATTTCAATCTTACGTACTTTGCAGGCTCAGCCGGGGCTGGGCCACTCAAGTATTTCGGTGGCATCCGCATCTTGGCAGCTGATTAGTCAAAAGTGAACCACAAATATAGCAGCTACAATAGAACACAAACAACAGTAACAACAGTAACAACAGTAACAACGATAGTAACGATACAACTACTCAACTTGTCACTATAAGTGAGGGTAATGTTACATGTGTGGGGCGGCAGTACAGACGTAACCCAAACAAATGCTGAACTCGTACAACATACTTCATACAGATAGAATCTAGTTCACACGTCACTACGTACCATAGTCGCCTTGGTGTGTGCGTGTATGGGTTACTTGTTCACCACACACAGTAATCCTTGCACGTGCACAGTAATCCTTGCACGTGCACTAAGAATATTGGCACCTTGCACGTGAGTACTGAGTACGTACATCTGCATGTGTAATTGTGCTCTTATTCTCCACGACGTGGAAGTTAGACATGTGTAGACATTTCAATCGAGAACACATTGGGGTAAGCTAATAAGTTGGAAACAAAAATTCACAATTTGCCTTGAGATATAAAACCTAGTATATAAGAATAAGGGAAACAGTTACCAGGGTTACAGTTACCAGGGTTACAGCTACTTGGCAAGACATTAGGAAACTTACCGTGTCTAGTGTTAACAACAGATAGCCATACGACCTTCTCCCACCTAAACCATACAAAAACGTTATATGAACTCCTGCGGAACTATAGTGATATCTAGCAAAACTACTATCTGCAAACAGCACTGTTTCAATATCGCAACACTGCACTGTGACACCGGTTACCAGGGTTACAGTTACCAGGGTTACAACACTGCACTGTGACACCGGTTCCGGGGAAATACCAGGCAATGCTAGACTGGTAGGCTCACATCCCTCTTATGGGATAATCAATCTTGCTGCGTATTATAGGGCGTGCACTTCAACATAGAGGCTAGGGTGCACTTCAACATAGGGGGCACTTCAACATAGGGGTACTTCAACATAGAGGCTAGGGGGCACTTCGAAATAGGGTGCACTTCAACATAGGGGCACTTCAACATAGGTAGAGAAACTAAAAAGATCTACGTAATGAAATAAAAAACAAAGCTAGAGCTGGTGTAGCACTATGGACTATGGAGCTTGGAGCTGCAGGTGCATAGGCTCTGGTGTAGTACCAAGTGCTCTAGTAGTAGTGTAGAGACCTTACACCCTAAATCGTGCACTGCATGTCAAATTATCAAACTATCAGACTGGAAGAGGACTGCTAGTATAATGTAGTAATAGTACTACCACTACTACTACTACCTAGCCCCTAATATCCGGATACAGTTACCATGGTTACAGTTACCATGGTTACAGTTACCATGGTTACAGTTACCATTGTTACAGTTACCAGGGTTACAGTTACCAGGGTTACAGTTACCAGTGGTAATAGTACTACCACTACTACTACTACCTAGCCCCTCATATCCGGATAACAAATAATTTGAGATGATGAATATGATGCTGTTACATTGAAACGTATAACAATTCCTTATAAGAGCCTTTTCCTTGTCGCAACAAACGGGAACACTACAAATTTTGCCCCAGAATCAAGACTACTTTTACTACAAACTACTCGTACTACGAATGACCACCCAATCTGGATCAGATAAAACATAATGGTAAAAGCCAGTTCCTCTCGTCTCAGTTACTGTATGCACTAACATAATATAACGCACGGTAATATATGTGGTAGTGCAGTCTGTAGTCTGTAAACTAAACTAATTGATCCAACTAACTGAGGGCTACTGACTGTTTTAACTGCTAATTAATCTCTGATTAACAACAAATTAGTTGAAATTAACTTCTAATTAACTGGAAATTATTCTAATTAGTGGGTTACTAACTTGAGGATCTCGCTTCCACCGTCATTCTGAAGACCGCTTCCTCCGAACTTGCTTCCAAATCGTGAGGAGACCTTACCGGTTCCTGAACGTACTATTTTAGGCGACCAATTTAATACCATATATGGTACCCGGCACGAAACCCACGGAGATTTCAAGAATCCCACACATTTTTGAACTTCAAATTTTCCATCACTAGATTACATTCTTTAAAGTAAAGCCTGTTTTTGGAAAATTTCCGGGAGCAACGAGCCTTGGAGGTCAAATTGGCACACAAATATCCATCTACTTATTGCTAGGTTTCTGTGGTTACTGACCTCGCCTGGCGGGAGCAGGTGAAGATTTTCCTTGTTTCTCCGCGAAGGGATTGTTAAGTTTTCCAACTTTCTTCGCCGGCTTGGGTGCAGCTTCGTCTTTCTGAGAGGAAAGTTTGGTGTCAGAAGAAGAGCTACACATTAACACCACGTGTTACCCACGTGTTGCCCACGTGTTACCCGAATATGGCTATATCTCTCTCACCCCATGATTGTGTGACTTATTGCAAATAGGTTTTTGACGGATGCTGGGTGCTTGAACCAAATTATGCCATTTAAGGTCCCTTGAAAAATGTTCTTGTCGCATCAATTGGGTATCAAAAGGATCTGTATCTAATTTTAGATTTTTGGGAATAGATTTAAAGCAACCCCGGCGTATTAAAATTGATTTAAAGTGTAAATAATTTTAATGATCAGCAATGAATAGCTGATAAAATTGAAACTGATGAATGCTGTTTAACAAACCACTGCTTCTTTAGGTTTGCCGAATTTTGTATTTAACTTTCCACTCTCCTACAATTGATTATAAATTGAAATAGGGAATTTTAGTTGGGAATCGAAGGAAGCTGTTTTTAGCGATTAAAAAAATATATTTTGATGAATGAAAGCGCTTAACTTTGTTCGGCTATTGAATGAGAGCACCTAAAGTCCGTTAATGGTGCTGAAAATGCTGAAAATGTGAACAAACCCGTCTCTTAAGTGCAGCTTTAGGTTCAGGAACCTAGAACAAAATAACAGATAACAAATTGTTATAGATAACACACAATCCACTGACAATCCTACATATTCCTACCATCTGTTATACTAGAGAGTCATCAGAGTATTAAACTCCTTCACAAACACAACAAACAAAACGGAATTTGTATCGACAGAAACCTAAATTTGTCAGTTTTTGTGACCACAGTAATCTAAATTAGTGACCACAGTAAACCAAATACCGACTTCACACAAGGCTCTTGTCTCTCTAACAAAGTAAAGAAGTGAGTGGTATGAGTGTGGTAAATACTGAGTTTTAAATCTGGTCTCCGTTCCTATTGGAGCTGAGACAAGGTGCTTTAAAACGCAAAATGATTAGTGCAGGGAAGTTTATAATTTGTATAAAATGTGCCGTCTGAAATTGTTTAAATAGTTATTAATAAAATGCTAAGTGTGCTCTGCTTTAACAAACTCAACATTGTTATATGTTGAGTCATTTGCTTTAAATTGACCTTGATTAGGTGCAACATTGTAAAATGAAATGTGACTCGCAGCTAGAACTCGGCTGTTTACCCTATCAAATGTTGGTGTTTTTAGTTTCCTAACTGCAGCAGGACTGTTTTTTACAGTCAACTCGTCCTAAAACATTCCAACTATGAAGACAACTTGGCACTACTAAAATAAGAAGAATAGAAGTTTAACCAAAAAGGGAGCAAATTGTAAAGTTGAGGTTTAGAGCTGGGAACCAGACCTTTACCATTTCAGATGAGGTTTTTGGTTGGGGTAAGGATTTGGGGTACAACTTGGGTTTACAAGTTATAACTTGTAGTTAGGGTTAGGATTGGGGATACTGGATGGAGTTGTCCAAATAATTCAGCGTTTGCAAGATAGGACCTCTGAAAAGGGTTTTGACTGAGGTTTTACCTTTTGAATCCCGACATTTCCGAGCTTTCCGATCTGGCGTTGTTCTTTGGGTTTAAGAGGGCTCGGTTCAGAAAGTCCCTTGGGGTACATAACGTTAGGATCACGTGGTGTCCATATATGGTGATATAACCATGGTAACAGTTACCATAGTTACCATTGGTAACTATACCATGCATAGCAACGATACTGATTTGTACTGATAGAAGTTATCGAGAGAGAGAGAGAGAGAGACTGTATCGGGAGGGATAGAGACAGTTCACAGTTGTTAGATAAGATAAGAAATAGAGATAACAGGTTGTTACCAGGTGTAATGTGTTTGGTACCTTAAACAGAAGTAAGGCTATCTTAGTTCCGTATGCCATACGAACTCCTCTAGTATAGAGTTAAGTTTAAATTGATTAAGAGATTGTTTTTCTAAACTAAACAAATTCAACTAATTAAGAGGTATTGATTAAGCAAGTGGATGTAAGAAGCACAGAGTCACTAATCACTATGGTTACTAAAGTAACTATGGTTACTACAGTCACTATGGTTACTAAAGTAACTATGGTTATTAAAGTAACCTGTAACAATCGTGTTACTAATCAAGTGCAAAGTTGATAATATAGTTACTAAGATTTCAAATCAAGCAAGTGCGAGGGTTTAAATGGTTACCAAGGTAACCTTAAACCTGCAGCGCAGAGTTACCATGGTTTTAATGGTTAACAAGTGCGAAGTTCCGTGAGGACTAATCAGTAGTCCTCACAGTGTTTCAGATCAAGTACATGCAGTTTTAAAAGCTGATAATGTTATATGAAGTAAATCAAGTGTACATTAAAGGGCGTGAATTTTAAATGATATTTGATAACATATGTCAAATATAGCATCAATATGTGATGAGTGTCTTAAACACGTGTGTTAAAAACAGAGTGAGAAAAACAAATTGATTCACAGTCAGGGTGATATACTCTCAGGAAAGTTCTAAACAAAACACAGAGTTTCAAGTATGAGGACCACAGCTGGAAACGAACAAACAAACCGGAGACTTTACAACAAAACTCTAATAATGTTAAGAAGTTAAGACTAGTAGACTGTAGAGTATTCCGTGTAATAACACACACACAAAGGTATCACACAGACAGCATGTGTGTGTAGAGTGTTTGATAGAATTCCTGCCAGCGACACACATCATACCCATTAAATACGTGATATACGTGATATCAGATATCAATATATTATTGCCCAAAGGGACCAGATTAAATTTGAATACAAAAGAACTTCCGTGAATTATGCAGTAATAATATTATATAGTAATATTATGAACTTATAGCATAGTATTTGATAAGCAAGGAGCGGTTGCTCAATATGATTGTATCAATTTCATAATTATAATGGGACTACGGTCGTAGTGATAATCACGTTTCCCGTGATGCCCATATTAGGTAGTCACGTGTAAGGTAACCTCTAAGAACTCTCTATTTACCTCCATGTTAAGTTTTCCAACTTCTCTCTGTTGTTTCTCGGTATCTTTGTCGAAGTCTGGGATCTTAACTTTACCTGAAACAAAAACAACTGTCAGACGACGAAGAACAAATGTTAACTTATTGCTGCAAATCTATCAATTCTTGAAAATTCTCTAACTTTTCTCCCGGACCAGTGTACCTGAGGGCTGGTCAGTAACCTAGCAACAGTAACCTAGCAACAGTAACCTAGCAACAGTAACCTAGCAACAGTAACCTAGCAACAACCTGAGGGCTGGTGAGACGAATCTGAGGACTGCTGACGGGTGAAATATTTCACTAAAGAGAAACCCAGAACCACACTAAGAACAGTGAACCCGAGCATGGGCAGAGCTCCTCCTGGCAAACCTGCCTCCAAAACCATTGTAACTAAATACAAGCTAATCGACCAGAGTTTTCTCCAAGTTACAAAATACGAGAAAAGTTGAGAAGTTTGAGGAACGATGTAACAAAGGCTATTCGATAGGAGCTGGAGTGTGTTAACATGAGATGTAATACACAGTGTATGTAAAGCTTTATTGCAGTCACACGTAGGTATTATGAAATTATCTTCCGATGTAATTTGTAATCTCATCATTATTCATTATATTACAACTAACTGTAAACGTTTTTATTTTGCTTTTGCAACTATGTCATTTCAGGTCAGGAACTCCTTTTCAAAGATTTACGGGTAGATAACATGGGCATAAGTAACGTAACAAACATGGTAATGTGTAAAGTGGTCAAACCACATAGTTTCAACTCCTCACAACCACGCAGTTTTTAAAGGACAAGTGATTTTAAACTAATTTCACAACTACAATTAAATACATATTTTATTGAGGATCTAATGATGTAGTTTAACGAAGATTTCAAGCCTTACGTTGTGTGTTTCCCTTCGTGTCCAAAAGCATTATATGATTAACAAATTATGTTACCATAAGGTTAAGGTTACTGCAAGGTATTGGGGATAAGTTAGGGCGATGGTAAGAGTAAGGTTTGGGTAAGTACTAAGTGTTGGAGTTAGAAGTGAGAATCAGGGCCAAGAGAAATGCCACCAAGGGTACGGTCTGAGCTACTACTACTGCTGAGGTTTGGTAATGTTTAGTCGCAGGGTTGATGCTAAACTGAAGGAAGTTGGCACTAACTCTAAAGAGGAACTGCGAACCCTGATGCGGGACAGGGATATATGGAGGGGTATCTAGCGTAGATCGGACTTAGTTCCGACATAGTTGTAGTAGTAGTTGATGCTAAATTTGGGGGCATATGTTTATAAATATTCGTGTTACCAAAACGAATCCTTGAAAAGTGCTGTAACTAAAATAATATGCTTCAAAATCCACTCTTTTCTAGAGCACCTCCACTATTATACTATTATACTACACAATAAATAGAAATCCTGGAATAATAATGCCAATAAAACTAATGATAAACTATAATGCTGTTTGTTAGTTTGTCCGGCTGTTTGTGCTGTTGTTCTTACCGACATCCATTCCTCCATCAGCGCTTAATTCGTCGTGTCCTGCAGAAATAATACATCTTGGTAACCATGGTTCTGGTTCTATTACATTGTTCACAACGATGATCTTTCTTTTTGACAAAAGCAAAATGGAAACAGTACAGTCGTCAAGCTTTCAACGTGTTTAATACAAAATGTAAACCTATGCTGAGCTATGCTTCAGTAATTTAACTTGATATTTAATGCTATTGCTTCGACAAGCTTTCGTAACAGTGCAATGTGCAAGGAGTAGGACGACCAACTACCAGTCACCATAACAACTGGTAACAAACTGGTCACCATAACAACTGGTCACAAACTCGACAGTGTATACTACAAAATAGTTACTAAAACAGCAAACGGGGCTTCGGGCTATTCGCTAAATATGCAGAATTCCAATGACCATCATAATTCGGGCTACTGGTTTAAAATATAAAATGCAACGATCACTCCTCGGTATAATTCAGTGTGTGTGACTCGGAAAAAGTCTCCTGTGCTTCTCGAACAGTTCAATTTCAAATATACAACTGCTTCATTTCCAAATTCCAAGCAATGTAATAAATTGATAAATAGTTATATTGTGCTGCAAGAATTATTAAATAAACTTAAATGCTTCAAATCAAAATCTCAAGTCGTACGAAGCGGCAAAGACTGGGGCACGTGAAGTTGCGCGGCGTTAAATAAACCCTAATTTCAGCGTATCATCCGGTATTAATCAGACAAAACATCCTCCCGAATTTACCTTTGTTTAAAACCTTAATTGCGTGGCGCGGTGTGTGTGACTCACCAATACTGTTGAAGATAAAGTTTTTAGGTTGTGTGTCTTTAGGAGTAGATGATCGGGAGGAGGGTACATTGAACCACTGGATAAGGGAACCTACATTCCTCCCCGTAACTAACATTCTTTAGAGGGGACAGGGAGGGTAAAGACTAAAGTACTGGTACAACAACTATCACGTGATAGTTTTAAACTAATTACAGCACTAAAAATCTATTACATTTATTGAGAATTATGTAATGTAACGTGATGGAAATATTTTAAACGGGCATATCCTGTCCAAACCCATGATGCACTACTGACTACATGAAGAATTCGTTGTAACTTTGTTTGAAAAGCATTGATAATGTGAAATATTTGAGAAAACTGGAAAATAAAGGAGAATCTACTGTTTCTACTAAGCGGAGGAGAGTCCACAAATGGGAGGAAGTAGAGGTTATAAAACAGAAAGTAAACTGCAGACCATGACCAGTAACAGACTATTTGTCACACTGCAGACCATGACCATGACCAGTGCTATTTGTCACACGATGTTTGACTGCAGGTCGGGGAACTAGTGGTGAAGCTAGTTAATTAATTAAAGAACAGGTTACCCGATAAGGCTGTAAACCAGCGGGCATTTGTACAGGGTAATCACCACACAATGGGACCGTATTGGGGCCATGCTCTTGGAGCCTTATTTTAACTGTGATCTGATATAATGTGATAAAATCATGAAATTGAAAAATCTGAAGAACACGACACGACTTATGATAAAATGTCTCGGCTGTAACGATACACCTCACCTAAAGCTCGTACTCAACGAGATGGAAATATTCAACTTGATAATAGTAATGTGGTAATGTTCAGATTTTTCGCTATAAATAACGGTAAAATAACGAGACTAAAAGTAACATGGTCACGTCGTAAGGTAATGTACTATTAGCATGAAATACAGAAGATAACGATTTACGCGATAAGATTATTAGATTTTCTAACGCCTGTAACTGTGCCGTTTCAAGCTTTTTATTTAAAACTTGAGTTGCTACAATTAGCAGAGTGAGACATGGCTCCTGATTCAAATATAGCGGGGTTTGGGAACGGGGGGAGAAAGGGGGTATCAGGTAGCGGGTAACATGATGTAATGGGGACTCTCTGCAGACAACCACAGATTAGAGGGACATTAAAGGGGCAGTCTGTAATGCAGTGTAAACAAGGTTCCGGGGTATTGAGGTACAAACCTAGAGGATTTACAAACTTAGAGGATCAATAAACTTGAAGCATCAACAAGCTTGGAGGAAACAAGCCTAGAGGAAACAAGCCTAGAGGATCAACAAGGAACAAACTGTACGACAAGAACGAAAAGGGAGAAAATTTAGAGTTCATGAAACTCTGCTAGAAGCTATATATGGATTAAACAAAACTACATCAAAATAACTGAAGAAAGATACAACTATATATATGAAGATCAGGAAACTGAGACAAATATTAAAACCACAGTAAAAACCACGGAATATTTACGGAGAATACCCGCAGCAGTATATTACTTTCCATTGTGTTTGAAGTGTACACTACAACTACTGTCTAGTGTCTACTACTACTACACACTACCCTGTAGGCTGTACCAGCTGCAATTAGTAGCTTTATCTCATTATACTCTGGTACTCTGCTCTACAATCAAACGGCCGGGTACTCTGCAAATATAACGCTATTGTACCTCACAGACCCACCACACACAGTACATGATGTTAGAGCAGGACTACAATTTGTTAGGGCATTACTATTATTATGTGTACACACAGACTCAGGCTAATACAAGCTTATTATTGGAGAGAGGAGGAGGTCTAATGTTTTATTGGAGGAGGATGTCTACTGTTTTAATATTTTAGAGGAGGGAGGAGCGAGTGGGAAGCTAGTAAATAAGTAAACAGGAGCTGAGCAAATGGTTTAGAAATAAGGAAGCTGAGTGGTGGAAAGGAGCGATTTAGTAATAATCACTGCAGACGATAGAATTGTGCATACTGTGCAGTGTGCAGTGCAGTAGTGATAGGCTTGCTTTTATCTCTCTACCAACTAACAGGACACTACTACAGAGCAGTTTGGGGTTAGAAGATGTCTGCACGAAACTAGGACAATGAAAAGAAAAATGGGTCGGTAAATATCAAAGAGCACAAGTCAAACGTCTTCCATCGCTGAATCACTAAGAGACATGACGTGATAACACAAACAGAACTGACTGAGAACATGACTGACTATGAAGCGTGTAGAGGAAACTAACTAAGGTAGTAGCAGGATGAGCAGTCTGCACCTCAAGGTAGTCATGTGGTCATCACTATAACCTGCACTGTTTTTATTGTGGTCACGCTACATCCCCCGCCACACTGCTGGAAATTGTAGTAATAGAGACTTAAGACGGCAGATTGGAGCAACTCATTGGTCGAGATGAGGCGACCAAAGCGAACTTTCTACAGCGGTGCAGGGGCAAACTGTCATCATGCCTTCTACAGGTGTATTAAGATAGTGCTATTTTTATTTAGTCGCAAAGTACAAACGATATTACAAAACTGTTGCACAAGTACGACTGTGATGAGTACCGGGCTGACAAAGAAACCACAAATAAAGAGGGAGGCTAGAAGTGGGGAGGCTAGCTCTGGGACTGATAACACACAATAGTGGGGGGCTCTCTTACTAACATATCGTACTATTACAGCTCTCCCTCTCTCTGTTAGAAACCTTATAGTTCCTTTAAAGCTTTAATACAACTGGACATCTCAGGAGATGTGGTGGTTAAGAGGCGACTACTCAGAACCTGAATTGCTCCGTTTCCAGACTCAGACTGATAACAGCTGAACAAGTGAACTGCAGACAAATACTTCAGATCTGACATCTCACTACAAATAAAGCAAATAAAGCAGGATCAGACTGCCCAGAATGCTCCTCTAATGGGAACCTTACAGTAGACGGGAACCTCCCCCGACGTTAAACTGTGGGGGACCCTGAACGGTGAGGAGCCCTGGACAGAGGGTTCAGGGTCTTGCAGACACACCCTGGCACAAACTGTAAAACTGTAATTTAATTTCAGAGACGGCAACAAATAGCATGTTATTACAGATATTGGGTTACTCTCTCTGTCTCTCTCTGTCCCGCGCAATGCCCTAGGGTGAACAAACTGCAGCCTCACAAAACAATAGCATGAGTAACAACATGTCAAATTCACGCTCAACGTAAAGGCGGTGCATATTCATAGTTTCAAATTACAATATCACTCTGGTAGTACAGTGTAAACTAATAATAATAATGGTGGTAATGTAAGATCTGTAGCGAGGGAGCACAGTGAAGAATAAAAAGTCGAAGAACACTGCCTGTAATACTAAAGTACAAAGAACCAACAAGAAGCAGCAGAACAGTGTACCGTGTACAGTGTACAATGTACAGTGTACACTGTATATCATACTGGAATATCCAATATATCCAGGGTACAATGTACATGAAGCACCACCAACGATCCTAAACACAACATGCTACTGAACAACAAATTTCAGTCCTCCTGACAATGCTATAATAAGACGTAATGTTTATAAGTAGCGAGTTAGCTAATAGAGTGATGATGATGATGATGATTTGTTGTTAAGCATGAGGTAATGGTGGGACGAGTCGGGGTGTAATCGCTCTAGTTGTTATCAGACACGTGTAATCGCTCTAGTTGTTATCAGACACGTGAAATTGTAATGCAGGATCACAACACATCATAGAGATGAGAGAGAGAACAGTGGGAGGGGGGCCAGGGGGAGGGGGGGGAGCCTTTGATAACTCTTCGCTGAGACTCATTTTTATTATTTCCAGTATCGCAACATTTATCGACTCAACGTCCGTTTCTATCCTACATTATGCATTTGTAAGAGAGAAGCATTTTGGCTCACACAACTCGTAAAAAGCTCTAGTCACACACCAGTCAGTCACACACACGCGATGCAGGTTTCCGCATGATCGGATCACGGATCACGGATCACAAAGTCTAGAACTCAGCCGCTCTGTCCATAATCACACCGCGCGCTGATTATCGCTCTCATAATTCCAGACTACGTGCATTAAAACCTGAGCCCTAAACCTGAGCCCTAAACCTGAGCCCTAAACCTGGGCCTTAAACCTGGCCCCTAAGGTAAAGTTCAACACCCACTAAGGTAGTATACTTAGGTTTATAGAGAGTTCGTTATATTTTTACGCCGTATAATTCGCATTATGGTCGCACACCCCCACAAATATGACACGTTATTTCAGGATAATGTTCGCACAGCCCCACAAATATCACACGTTATTTCAGGATAATGTTCGCACAGCAAGTATTCAGCAGCTCCCGCCTACAATCTACTCTAGCACCAGAGAGGGGCTGAGTGTGCACTCCCTGCTGCTAGAGTAGTCGCTCACTCACCGATGCTGACATTGGATCCCTGTTTGGCCTGGAATTTCTCGAACTCTGCCTGGGAGAGTGTCACGGAGACAATGTCCCCCTCCTGGGTGGACGAGTAGCGCACACCTTCAAACGAGCCCATTCCTTTGAGTGCCTCGAACGAGGCTGTGTCCACGTTCAGGACTACCTCGGATTCTTCCGATGCTTCCGATGCTTCTGATGCTGGGGCTGATTTTAAACTCATGTCAAATGTGCTGATTTTATACTCATGTCAAATGTGCTTGTAATAAAGGTTTGTTTTCAAAATTAGAAAAGCATTAGCAAGTGCGTTTGAAATTAAATAATATATCATCAATGTGCTTCGACTATTATCCTGTGCTTTTTTTGTGCCAAATGTTTCCAATCATGGAAATCGCAAATTATCGCACATTATCGCACACAAACACACACGAACACACGCTCACACAGACAAATTCGTACCTTGGCCGGAAGCAGCTTTAGCTTGGTTAGCTTGGAACTGCTGCCACTGAGCCTCACTCAGCTTGAATGTCATTTTACCACCGCTACCAGTAGTGGGCTTTACATCAATACCAGCAAATGAGGACTTCATCATGCTGTATTGGTCAGTCGTCAGGTCTATCACATAGTAACCACCTTGGAGACACTTAGTTACTACATGGGAAACACTTGGTTACCAAATTGAGTATACATACACGCACATTGACGATACTTACGCATTTAAAACACTTAGTTACCACCTTAGAAACACATAATTACCACCTTAAAAACACATAGTTACCACATTGGAGAAACTTAGTTACCAATTTGATAATATATACGCACACATTGAGAATATTCACGCATTTAAAACACTCAGTGACTCAGGTGTCACTTTGGAAACACTTAGTTACCACTTGGAAACACATAGTAATGATCTTGAGAATACTCGAGTCTATCACAAAAATGTTCACTCAGTCACTCATCACTATTTGAGCTTTCTTGTCTCTTTCACCATCCCAAAAAGGGCTCACCCAAACAGAAACACTCACACATTTAAACACTCTCACACACACTCACTCGAATCTCTAGATACGGAGATTTGTCCAGGTTCGCTGCTACTTTCGGACTGAGAACCAGGGTTAGCTTGGTTAGCTTGGAACTGCTGCCACTGGGCCTCACTCAGTCTGAAGGTCATTTTACCTCCGCTACCAGTAGTGGGTGTTACATCGATACCAGCAAATGAGGACTGCATCGATTTGTACTGCTCAGCTGTTAGGTTCAGCACATAGTAACCACCTTGGAGACACTTAGTTACCACAACTTGAATACACTTAGTTACCAAATGGAGAATACATACGCACGCTTTAAAAATATTCACGCATTTAAAACACTTAGTTACCACTTTGGTAACGCTCAGTTACCAAATTGAGAATACACACGCACGCTTTGAGAATATTCACGCATTTAAAACTCTTAGTTACCACCTTGGAAACACTTAGTTACCACCTAAGAAACACTTAGTTACCACTTGGAAACACATAGTGATGATCTTGAGAATACTAGAGGCTATTACAAAAATGTTCACTCAGTCACTCATCACTATTTGAGCTTTCCTGTCTCTTTCACCGATCACCATCACAAAAAATGGCTCACCCAAACGGAAACACTCACACACTTAAACACTCTCAAACACACTCACTCGAATCTCTAGATACGGAGATTTGTCCAGGTTCGCTGCTACTTTCGGACTGAGAACCAGGGTTAGCTTGGTTAGCTTGGAACTGCTGCCACTGGGCCTCAGTCAGTCTGAATGTCATTTTACCACCACTACCAGTAGTGGGTGTTACATCGATACCAGCAAATGAGGACTGCATCGATTTGTACTGCTCAGCTGTTAGATTCAGCACATAGTAACCACCTTGGAAACGCTTAGTTACCAACTCGTTTAAAACTGTTTCACTTTGCACAAGTACGTGCGTAAAGAAATTTGCTTTGACTAAAAACGGGAACAATTAAGTCTTTGGTAACACTTAGTTACCAAATCGCTAATCGGTAACACATAGATACCGCCTTGGTAACACTATAGGTCATCACCTTGGTAACATAGAGCAGCTACATTGAGAATACTTGGTAACCACAATGAAATTATTTACAAACCAAACTAAGAACCTATAACCAACTTGAGAATTCTCACGGCAAATACTTGTTCTCTCATCACTAATTGAGCATTTTTTGTTTCCTTCACCAACAAAGGCTCACTTAGACCAAAAATAAAACACTCACACGTTAAAAAACACTTTTATAACTTATACCCACGATTGTGCAAAATTGTGCGGAAAACACTTTTATACAAATTTTGATACTCATGGGGCGGCCCATTTGTTAAAAAGAAATTTTGATACTCATGGGGCATGGGTCAGGTATGTCCCACCCGTTAAAAAGAAATTTTGATACTCATGGGGCGGCCCACCCTCTGAAAATGTTTTTGATACTGATGGGGCATGGGTCAGGTATGTCCCACCCGTTAAAAAGAAATTTTGATACTCATGGGGCGGCCCACCCGTTAAAAAGAAATTTTGATACTGATGGGGCATGGGTCAGGTATGTCCCACCCGTTAAAAAGAAATTTTGATACTCATGGGGCATGGGTCAGGTATGTCCCACCCGTTAAAAAGAAATTTTGATACTCATGGGGCGGCCCACCCGTTAAAAAGAAATTTTGATACTGATGGGGCATGGGTCAGGTATGTCCCACCCGTTAAAAAGAAATTTTGATACTCATGGGGCATGGGTCAGGTATGTCCCACCCGTTAAAAAGAAATTTTGATACTCATGGGGCGGCCCACCCGTTAAAAAGAAATTTTGATACTCATGGGGCGGCCCACCCGTTTAAAAGAAATTTTGATACTGATGGGGCATGGGTCAGGTATGTCCCACCCGTTAAAATAAAATTTTGATACTCATGGGGCGGCCCACCCGTTAAAAAGAAATTTTGATACTCATGGGGCGGCCCACCCGTTAAAAAGAAATTTTGATACTCATGGGGCATGGGTCAGGTATGTCCCACCCGTTAAAAAGAAATTTTGATACTCATGGGGCGGCCCACCCGTTAAAAAGAAATTTTGATGCTCATGGGGCGGCCATGAAAAAAAAACACCCTCTGAAAATGTTTTTGATACTGATGGGGCATGGGACAGCTATGTCCCACCCCACAAAAATTTGATTGATACTCATGGGGCATGGTACATGAAATCCCACCAATATTTTCTTCTTGATACTGATGGGGCGGCCCACCCTCTGAAAAAAATATTTTGATACTGATGGGGCTTGGGACAGGTATTTCCCACCCCATAAAATTTTTATTGATACTCATGGGGCATGGTACACGAAATCCCACCAATGTTTTCTTCTTGATACTGATGGGGCGGCCCACCCTCTGAAAAAAATATTTTGATACTGATGGGGCATGGGACAGGTATTTCCCACCCCATAAAATTTGTATTGATACTTATGGGGCATGGTACACGAAATCCCACCAATGTTTTCTTCTTGATACTGATGGGGCGGCCCACCCTCTGAAAAAAATATTTTGATACTGATGGGGCATGGGACAGGTATGTCCCACCCCCTAAAAATATCATTGATACTGATGGGGCATGGGTCAATATGTCCCACCCCCAAAAAAAATTAGTGATACTCAAGGTCCACCATACAATAGGTTATCACCTTGGTAACACAGAGCAGCAACATTGAGAATACTTGCTAACCACAATGAAGTGACTTACAAACTAAACTAAAAACCTTTAGCCACCTCGAGAATTCTCACGTCAAATACTTTTTCTATCTCATCGCCATTTGAGCATTTTTGTTTCCTTCACCAAAAAGGGCTCACTCCAAACAAAACAAATACACCCACAGACTAAAAAACACTTTTATACCCACGATTGTGCAAAATTGTGCGGAAAACGACTGAAAGTGCGAACACAAGCGGAATACGGTCGATAGTGTGATTCCGCAACCGCCACATTTATATGTTGCCTGGCACACACTCACTCGAATCTCTAGATACGGAGATTTGTCCAGGTTCGCTGCTACTTTCGGACTGAGAACCAGGGTTAGCTTGGTTAGCTTGGAACTGCTGCCACTGGGCCTCAGTCAGTCTGAATGTCATTTTACCACCACTACCAGTAGTGGGTGTTACATCGATACCAGCAAATGAGGACTGCATCGATTTGTACTGCTGAGCGGTCAGGTTCAGCACATAGTAACCACCTTGGAGACACTAAGTTACCAAATTGAGAATACACACGCACGTTTTGAGAATATTCACGCATTTAAAACACTTAGTTACCACCTTGGAAACACTTAGTTACCATCTTAGAAACACTTAGTTACCACCTTGGAAACACTTAGTTACCATCTTCCTTAAAACTGTTTCACTTTGTACGAGTACAGAGAGTAAAGGTGCGGGTAAAAAAAGTGCTTTGACTAAAAATGGGAATATTTTAGTCTTTTAAAAACACATAGATACCGCCCTGGTAACAATAGGTTATCACCTTGGTAACACAGAGCAGCAACATTGAGAATACTTGCTAACCACAATGAAGTTACTTAGAAACTAAACTAAGAACCTTTAACCACCTCGAGAATTCTCACGTCAAATACTTTTTCTATCTCATCGCCATTTGAGCATTTTTGTTTCCTTCACCAAAAAGGGCTCACTCCAAACAAAACAAATACACCCACAGACTAAAAAACACTTTTATACCCACGATTGTGCAAAATTGTGCGGAAAACGACTGAAAGTGCGAACATAAGCGGAATACGGTCGATATAGTGTGATTCCGCAACCGCCACATTTATATGTTGCCTGACACACACTCACTCGAATCTCTAGATACGGAGATTTGTCCAGGTTCGCTGCTACTTTCAGACTGAGAACCAGGGTTAGCTTGGTTAGCTTGGAACTGCTGCCACTGGGCCTCACTCAGTCTGAAGGTCATTTTACCTCCGCTACCAGTAGTGGGTGTTACATCGATACCAGCAAATGAGGACTGCATCGATTTGTACTGCTGAGCTGTCAGGTCTAGCACATAGTAACCACCTTGGAGACACTTAGTTACCAACTTGGAAGCGCTCAGTTACCAAATTGAGAATACACACGCACGCTTTGAGAATATTGACGCATTTAAAACACTTAGTTACCACCTTGGAAACACTTAGTTACCATCTTTTTTAAAACTGATTCACTTTGTACGAGTACAGAGAGTAGAGGTGCGGGTAAAAAAAAGTGCTTTGACTAAAAATGGGAATATTTAAGTCTTTCAAAAACACATAGATACCGCCCTGGTAACAATAGGTTATCACATTGGTAACACAGAGCAGCAACATTGAGAATACTTGCGCTAACCACAATGAAGTTACTTAGAAACTAAACTAAGAACCTTTAACCACCTCGAGAATTCTCACGTCAAATACTTTTTCTATCTCATCGCCATTTGAGCATTTTTGTTTCCTTCACCAAAAAGGGCTCACTCCAAACAAAACAAAAAACACCCACAGACTAAAAAACACTTTCATACCCACGATTGTGCAAAATTGTGCGGAAAACGACTGAAAGTGCGAACATAAGCGGAATACGGTCGATATAGTGTGATTCCGCAACCGCCACATTTATATGTTGCCTGACACACACTCACTCGAATCTCTAGATACGGAGATTTGTCCAGGTTCGCTGCTACTCTCAGGCTGAGAACCTTGGCCGGAAGCAGCTTTAGCTTGGTTAGCTTGGAACTGCTGCCACTGGGGTTCAGTCAATCTGAATGTCATTTTACCACCGCTACCGGTGGTTGGCTTTACATTGATGCCAGCAAATGAGGACTGCATCGATTTGTACTGCTGAGCTGTCAGGTTCAGCACATAGTAACCACCTTGGAAACGCTTAGTTACCATCTTGGAAACGCTTACCATTTTGGAACCTTTAAAAAAATACTCACCACGTTAAGAATTCCCACGTCACTTACCCTCAAATATTATCGTCATACACAGTCATTCGTGATTCTTTAATTATAATAAAAGGGTCCACTACAAGATAAAAACTAACACTCGAAAACATTCACATGTAGATGAATATATGTTTCAACAGACATGCTCACACACACACACACACACACACAGACATACAGACACACAGACAGACTCACTAGCATCTATAGATACGGAGATCTCATTTTCGCCGGGCGGACTGCTATCCTTAGCTTGGGAACCAGCTTTAGCCTGGTTCTCTTGGAAGATGTTCCACTCAGCTGGGCTCAGCTGGACGTTGTAACTTCCGTCAGCGCTGGCAACAGGGGCCGGGGACAGGTTGATACCCGCGAACCCGTTAGAGAGTTGAATCATCTTCCACAGTGGGGCAGGGATGTGCAACATGTAGTCTCCACCTTAAGGGGTTGTGTAAGACGGAGCAGGTGGGGGCAGGGGAGAGAGAAATGTGCGGTGATTGTGCTTCTTGGGTTAGAGGTTTCCTTTTTAATTATTTTATCTTGCTTTAATTGAATTTGCTCTATCTAATGCTTCTATTTTTTGAGTAAAACAGAGAGGGCAGAAAGGTGCTTCAAAATCTCACAAAAAAGATAACGGTAACTAAATAGACCAAAATCTTGGTCTTTTTTCTAGGAAAACGTTTTCTTAAATAGCTCAAGCAGACGTAGAAATTGCCTGGCAAGAAAGTTCCAGATCAAAAATCAACTAAAAGCTAAAAGCAAGAGATGCAACAATAATTTTAAGGATTCAAGTTTCAACATATCAAATGAGAGGAAACAGTTGGGTGATCGATCAATCACATCACGTGATAATAAGCATTGAAAGCAATTATTCGGGTAATCAGGTCTTTACAAAATTGAGAATCTAGTACAAGCATCTAGCTGCCTATCAGGATCTAGCAGCTAGCTGCCTATCAGGATCTAGCAGCTAGCTGCCTATCAGGATCTAGCAGCTAGCTGCCTATCAGGATCAAGCAGCTAGCTGCCTATCAGGATCTAGCAGCTAGCTGCCTATCAGGATCTAGCAGCTAGCTGCCTATCAGGATCTAGCAGCTAGCTGCCTATCAGGATCTAGCAGCTAGCTGACAATCAGGATCTAGCAGCTAGCTGCCTATCAGGATCTAGCAGCTAGCTGCCTATCAGGATCTAGCAGCTAGCTGACAATCAGGATCTAGCAGCTAGCTGCCTATCAGGATCTAGCAGCTAGCTGCCTATCAGGATCTAGCAGCTAGCTGCCTATCAGGATCTAGCAGCTAGCTGCCTATCAGGATCTAGCAGCTAGCTGCCTATCAGGATCTAGCAGCTAGCTGCCTATCAGGATCTAGCAGCTAGCTGCCTATCAGGATCTAGCAGCTAGCTGACAATCAGGATCTAGCAGCTAGCTGCCTATCAGGATCTAGCAGCTAGCTGCCTATCAGGATCTAGCAGCTAGCTGCCTATCAGGATCTAGCAGCTAGCTGCCTATCAGGATCTAGCAGCTAGCTGCCTATCAGGATCTAGCAGCTAGCTGCCTATCAGGATCTAGCAGCTAGCTGCCTATCAGGATCTAGCAGCTAGCTGACAATCAGGATCTAGCAGCTAGCTGCCTATCAGGATCTAGCAGCTAGCTGCCTATCAGGATCTAGCAGCTAGCTGCCTATCAGGATCTAGCAGCTAGCTGCCTATCAGGATCTAGCAGCTAGCTGCCTATCAGGATCTAGCAGCTAGCTGCCTATCAGGATCTAGCAGCTAGCTGCCTATCAGGATCTAGCAGCTAGCTGCCTATCAGGATCTAGCAGCTAGCTGCCTATCAGGATCTAGCAGCTAGCTGCCTATCAGGATCTAGCAGCTAGCTGCCTATCAGGATCTAGCAGCTAGCTGCCTATCAGGATCTAGCAGCTAGCTGCCTATCAGGATCTAGCAGCTAGCTGCCTATCAGGATCTAGCAGCTAGCTGCCTATCAGGATCTAGCAGCTAGCTGCCTATCAGGATCTAGCAGCTAGCTGCCTATCAGGATCTAGCAGCTAGCTGCCTATCAGGATCTAGCAGCTAGCTGCCTATCAGGATCTAGCAGCTAGCTACCTATCAGGATCTAGCAGCTAGCTGCCTATCAGGATCTAGCAGCTAGCTGCCTATCAGGATCTAGCAGCTAGCTGCCTATCAGGATCTAGCAGCTAGCTGCCTATCAGGATCTAGCAGCTAGCTGCCTATCAGGATCTAGCAGCTAGCTGCCTATCAGGATCTAGCAGCTAGCTGCCTATCAGGATCTAGCAGCTAGCTGCCTATCAGGATCTAGCAGCTAGCTGCCTATCAGGATCTAGCAGCTAGCTGCCTATCAGGATCTAGCAGCTAGCTGCCTATCAGGATCTAGCAGCTAGCTGCCTATCAGGATCTAGCAGCTAGCTGCCTATCAGGATCTAGCAGCTAGCTGCCTATCAGGATCTAGCAGCTAGCTACCTATCAGGATCTAGCAGCTAGCTGCCTATCAGGATCTAGCAGCTAGCTGCCTATCAGGATCTAGCAGCTAGCTGCCTATCAGGATCTAGCAGCTAGCTGCCTATCAGGATCTAGCAGCTAGCTGCCTATCAGGATCTAGCAGCTAGCTGCCTATCAGGATCTAGCAGCTAGCTGCCTATCAGGATCTAGCAGCTAGCTGCCTATCAGGATCTAGCAGCTAGCTGCCTATCAGGATCTAGCAGCTAGCTGCCTATCAGGATCTAGCAGCTAGCTGACAATCAGGATCTAGCAGCTAGCTGCCTATCAGGATCTAGCAGCTAGCTGCCTATCAGGATCTAGCAGCTAGCTGCCTATCAGGATCTAGCAGCTAGCTGCCTATCAGGATCTAGCAGCTAGCTGCCTATCAGGATCTAGCAGCTAGCTGCCTATCAGGATCTAGCAAATATAGCTAAGTAGCTGCTAGAGTATCTGCTGAACGTACTGGCTTGCAGAGACACTGAGATACTGTCATCTCCTTCCTGGTTGATCTTCTCCTGGTTGTCGTTGAACTGCTTCATCTGAGCCTCGGTCAGCATCAGAGTGTAGATACCACCATTTTGTTGGGGAGAAGCGGTGATTCCTTCGAATCCTCCGTTCTTCATCAGGGTCTCGTAGTGTTGTTTGTGGAACTTCAGGATGTAGTTGCCACCTGATATTGCGGAAATATTGTTCGGGCGGACTAGCAAATTAAGATAGTTGTAATGCAAGTGCAATGCTGCAGGGGGGAGCAACTGTGATGACTAGATAATGAGGTAGACTAGATAATGAGACCCTTATCTAATAGGTAGACTAGATAATGAGACCCTTATCTAATAGGTAGACTAGATAATGAGACCCTTATCTAATAGGTAGACTAGATAATGAGACCCTTATCTAATAGGTAGACTAGATAATGAGACCCTTATCTAATAGGTAGACTAGATAATGAGACCCTTATCTAATAGGTAGACTAGATAATGAGACCCTTATCTAATAGGTAGACTAGATAATGAGACCCTTATCTAATAGGTAGACTAGATAATGAGACCCTTATCTAATAGGTAGACTAGATAATGAGACCCTTATCTAATAGGTAGACTAGATAATGAGACCCTTATCTAATAGGTAGACTAGATAATGAGACCCTTATCTAATAGGTAGACTAGATAATGAGACCCTTATCTAACAAGGATCGTTAAAAGAGTGTTATCTACGTACTGTTATCCCTGGTGATGTTAACACCCTCTACAACTGGTTCAGCAGGCTTGTTCTGGTTGTCTTGGAAGATCTGCCATTGAGCAGCATCTAGGGACACAGTGTAGCTACCGTCAGCGTTAGGTGCAGGGTTGGGTGTTGGGGCGATTCCAGCGAATCCGTTGTTAGCTTGGATTATATTCCACAATCCAGCGGGGATTGAGAGGATAAACCTTCCACCTTATAAACGGGAACGGTTAAATAAATATAAATTAATTAAATTTGACGAAACTTTCAGGAAATCTAAGTTTGACCCATATCTATAATCTCTGAAATTTCTGTGCAATTCTAAGAAGAATTACGTGAGTTATTAAAGGGTTGCGTGTGGGTAGTTACTTTTGGGCCACCCTATAGTTATTGTATTACAGGGGGAATGTTAGAGGTTAGAGATCATTGCACGGCTGTAATTTGAGAAATGTATAAAGATGATGAGCTGAGGTGTTTTTCTTGGCACAATCAAAGTTCAGAAACAGTTCAAATGTACAAATGTACAAATGTACAAATGTACAAATGTACAAATGTACAAATGTACAAATGTACAAATGTACAAATGTACAAATTTCTGGCTACGGATCAGAGAAATATATAAAATGAAACATGTAAGACTGAGTAATCTGTTAGTAGGGGGCTTGGTATACCGCAAAAAGATCATTAAATCAATTCGGAGGGTACAATTTGATACAACGAGAATTCCATGAAGAGTAGAAATTTCATGGAAATTCTACCATAAACGGTAGAATTTGGAAGAGCAGCGAACAAAAGTACTGTTAAACTGAAGAATGACGATGTCATTTCACAAACTAGAATTGTGCTTGTAGAACTTAAAATAAGGAAAATGCTTTTAAAACCAGATTAAGATGTAGGAATTAATAATACCCCTGCTAAAGAAACATAGGATCACCCAGTTTTTAGGTTCCAAGAGCTGAAAAGACAAAATAGAGGATAATTTCTGTTACATAAACGTACTAGCATCCTGTGCAACTGAAATGTTGTCTCCTGAAGCAGGAGCACCGGCAGGAGCACCGGCAGGAGCACCGGCAGGTGCACCGGCAGGTGCAGCGGCAGCTGGGGCTGGTTGAGCAACTGCTGGCTTCTTCTGGTTGTCTTGGAAGATCTGCCATTCAGCAGCATTAAGCGAGACAGTGTAGCTACCGTCAGCTCCAGGAGCAGGGTTGGGTGTGGGGGTGATTCCAGCGAATCCGTTGTTTTGCTGGATAATCTTCCACATTCCAGCGGGAATTCGGAGAACAAACTTTCCACCTGTTTGGTGTGGGTTACGGTATAAATCTTTACAATAAAACAATTCATAAGTTAAGGGCGCATGCAGGGTCATTAAATAGTTGGGAAGAACATTGAAGTTCTAAAGAAGGATAAAATGGAAACGTAGGGCGCGTTTTGTAATTGTAATTTCGGTTTATTGAACCGGCGTACAATCCAAGAACACCAAATATTCGTGTTGGAAAATTAATTTAGTTGTGCTTTCAATCATATAGCAGTTATTTTGAACAGTAATTTAGATCAGTTGTGCTACAATGAGGATACTTTAATAGAGTGATAATTGGAGTTAAATATTGTTTAGAAATTTATAAGGTTGATGAAACATATTGTGGGGTTAGTTGTATTTTAAAGAACGAGCAGGTTTTAGCTGAAATAAGAACGAGGAAATGCTGTCAGAATCATGGGGTTAGTTGTATTTTAAGGACAAGCAAGTAGCTGAAAATGGAGGAAACACTCCGATAGCAACAGCTACGTGAGTGTTTGAAGGTGTATAGTTGCATCAGGAGGTTATTGCAAACGAGGTGGCTTTAAAGAAGTCAGCTCGTATAGAGTGAAGCTGGTGTATTATTACTGCTGTATCCATGGTAACCTACTAGGATCTTGTTGTACGGAAATGTTGTCTCCTGGCTGATCAGCCCTCACTTTCTCAGCTACAGAATCGCCCACTGGGACCAACATGGAGGGTTTCTTCATGTTGGCCTGGAAGATCTCAAACTGAGCAGGGGTCAACTTAACAGCTCTGACACCGTCAGCGCCAGGGGCAGGGTTGGGGGTTGGCTTGATTCCCTCGAACCTCTCGTTAGTTTGAAGGACTGTCCACATTGATCCGGGGATCATCAGGATGTAGTTTCCACCTTCAAGGTTGTGAGTTGAAGAGGATGGAACATGACATGCAAGACATGCTGTAATATTATTTCGCCGCGCGCTTCTTCATCGAATTAAATTTCACAAACTTCACATTTTGAATTAATTAGTAATAACACAATTAATTTTCTAGATAATTATAACTAAAGGACGTACTGCGGTCCTGCTCTACAGAGATATCTGATGCAGATGGCTGTTCTCCAGCAGGTTGTGCTGGGGCAGGGACTGGGGCCTTCTTCTGGTTCTCTTGGAAGATCAGCCACTGGGCAGGGGTTAGCTTCACGGTGAAACTACCGTCTTCGTTAGGTTTAGATTGTGGGGCAGGTTTGATTCCTTCAAATCCGTTGTTTTGCTGGATGACAATCCAGAGCGATCCGGGGATACGTAAAATGTAATTACCACCTTCGGAATGAATGCTACATTAAGAAAACATTATTTACTCAAACTTTATCGAGTACACTCATGCAGAGTATTCCATATTTTGAGGATTTTAATTTAACTTCGAAAAGTTTGAAGTTGTTAGAGTAACCTTCAGGAAATTATCAATTAACAAAACAAAACCGTTAGAGGTTAGAATAACTGAACAGAGCAAGAAGTGAAACATTTCAAAAGGAAATATCACTGCTTAAGATGTGAAGTATTCTTTGACTTGAAATGAGTAGGAAAGAAAGAATAACTTATTTATCTATAAGAAGGATAATACAGACTATGCTTTTCAAGTTGCTACAACATACTGGGATCCTTTGAAGCTGTTACACTGTCATCATCTGGTGCTTGTTCAGGAGCAGGAACTGGGGCCTTCTTCTGGTTCTCTTGGAAGATCAGCCACTGGGCAGGGGTTAGCTTCACGGTGAAACTACCGTCTTCGTTAGGTTTAGATTGTGGGGCAGGTTTGATTCCTTCAAATCCGTTGTTTTGCTGGATGACAATCCAGAGCGATCCGGGGATACGTAAGATGTAATTACCACCTTCGGAATGAATGCTACATTAAGAAAACATTATTTACTCAAACTTTACCGAGTACAGCCATGCAGAGTCCATATTTTGAGGATTTTAATTTAACTTCGAAAAGTTTAAAGTTGTTAGAGTAACCTTCAGGAAATTATTAACTACAAATTGATACGGGTAGAGTTGAATATTTAACAAAAACATAGAGAATATACAGGCTGCTACGAGCCAGTTTGAGGTCAGAATAACTGAACAGAGCAAACAGGCTTCTAGGAGCCCGTTTGAGGTTAGAATGACTGAACAGAGCAAACAGGCTGCTAGGAGCCAGTTTGAGGTTAGAATAACTGAACAGAGCAAACAGGCTGCTAGGAGCCCGTTAGAGGGTAGAATAATTGAACAGAGCAAACAGGCTGCTACGAGCCAGTTTGAGGTTAGAATAACTGAACAGAGCAAACAGGCTGCTAGGAGCCCGTTAGAGGTTAGAATAACTGAACAGAGCAAACAGGCTGCTAGGAGCCAGTTTGAGGTTAGAATAACTGAACAGAGCAAACAGGCTGCTAGGAGCCAGTTTGAGGTTAGAATAACTGAACAGAGCAAACAGGCTGCTAGGAGCCCGTTAGAGGTTAGAATAACTGAACAGAGCAAACAGGCTGCTAGGAGCCAGTTTGAGGTTAGAATAACTGAACAGAGCAAACAGGCTGCTACGAGCCAGTTTTAGGTTAGAATAACTGAACAGAGCAACCAGGCTGCTACGAGCCAGTTTGAGGTTAGAATAACTGAACAGAGCAAACAGGCTGCTAGGAGCCCGTTAGAGGTTAGAATAACTGAACAGAGCAAACAGGCTGCTAGGAGCCCGTTAGAGGTTAAAATAACTGAACAGAGCAAACAGGCTGCTACGAGCCAGTTTGAGGTTAGAATAACTGAACAGGGCAAGAAGTGAAACATTTCAAAAATAAATATCACTGCTTAAGATGTGAAGTATTCTTTGACTTGAAATGAGCAGGAAAGAAAGAATAACTTAGTTGTCTAATGTCTATAAGAGAGATAATACAGACTATGCTTTTAGGGTTGCTACAACATACTGGGATCCTTTGAAGCTGTTACGCTGTCATCATCTGGTGCTTGTTCAGGAGCAGAAACTGGGGCCTTCTTCTGGTTCTCTTGGAAGATCTGCCATTGGGTAGTTGTCAGCTTCACGGTGTAGCTGCCATCAGCATTAGGTTTGGGGTTGGGTGTTGGTTTGATACCCTCGAATCCGTTGTTTTGGATGATGATCCGCCACATTGCAGCAGGGATTTGCAGAACGAACTTACCACCTTTGGGACAAAGTTATAATTAACACAAATAATTGACCAGCTCTTACAGAGACTGTGTACGAGAAGTTAAAGCAGTCATGCCTAATTCTAATGCTGACAACTTATTTTACCCAAAAATACTCGGTGGTACATAACTGTAACTTTTATAAATGGCATTTCTTTACATGTTACAATAACAGTATTGTACATTCCAAGGTACTCATTTGATAGTTTTGTTAATAAAAAGATACATTCGTTGTTACAGATTTCACAAGAGTGAAGATGAACAGATACAATATAAAAATGGGATGCCAAAGGAGCTTCACATTTCGCATCTGTATCTGATGTATCTGAAAATAACGATATTTGAAAGCCAGCAACTGGCTCAAAGATAGAGGAATATGTTAAGCTGTGGTGCTGAAAGAGTAAACGTACTGATCTCCTTAGTTAAAGAGATATCTACAGATGGTTCTTTTCCAGGTTCAGGTTCAGCTTGAACAGGAATTGCGGGTTTCTTCTGGTTCTCTTGGAAGACCTTGAACTGAGTTGTAGTCAGTTTCACAGTGTAACTGCCATCAGGATTAGGTTTGGGGTTGGGGGTTGGTCTGATTCCCTCAAATCTCTTGTTTTGTATTAAGATTGTCCACACAGTTGCAGGGATTTGTAAAACGTATTTACCACCTTGAGAGGATTAGCAAATTACAACACGATTCTAATTTAAGATTCTCCACAAGAAAACATGTAGGCTCTTTTTAGCTGACATGTACGGTTTTAAAAGTAAATTTTGTTGAAAGTTGTTGTTTCAGCCGAAATTAACATGAATATAAACGTCGCGAAAGACATGCTTCATGTTAGAAGATAACTTTAGAAAGAAACGTGAAAAAAATTCCCAGAGAAAATATGTTAGCAAAAATTTGTACTGTTGTGATTCTTCCCAAAAATGTTTTCATTGACTAAACATGGCTGCAGTTGACCAAGATAAATTTCATTCCAATTCAGGTAAAAGCAGGCACATGCTGTGAGAGTGTGATGGTCGCTAAAACGCACTGGGTTCCTGGGTCACGGACACACTGACATCGGTCTGTTCAACTAAAACAGGAATTGCGGGCTTCTTCTGGTTCTCCTCGAACACTTTGAACTGAGTTATAGTCAGTGTCACAGTGTAGCTGCCATCAGGATTAGGTTTGGGGTTTGGAGTTGGTTTGATTCCCTCAAATCTCTTGTTTTGTACCAGAATTATCCACAAGGTTGCAGGGATTTGTAGAATATACTTACCACCTTCAGTGAAAACGAATACTTAGTAAGAAATACATTTCAAATCAGTGCCAGGTTTATCGATGTGTTACGAGTTTTGAAATAAACAAAGGGTAAAGCTTTTCAAAGATTAAAACTTTTGAACCAAAAAGTCATACAAAGTACATACGTCGACCGTCGTAGGAAAATGTGATGAAAAATGAGTGGCTGTTTGTTTAAAAAGTAAGAATGTAATTCTTTGGAAGATCCAAATTACTACTTTTAAAAGTGATTGAAGGAAAAAAAAGCTTGACTTAAAATTAAATTCTGAAAAGCCTTAGATATTTTCTAAAGGCACATTCATGTCAAATGAGTGACATGCAAAATGAGACATATTCTTTTCCGAAATAAGAAGTTTTGACGGCGGCCTAAACTTACTGGGCGCTTGTGTTACGGAAATTTCTACTCCGGTCGGCTTTTCTTCTGGTTCTTGTCCAGAAGCAGGTTTTGCAGGTTCTGCTGGAACAAGAACTGCAGGTTTCTTCTGGTTTTCTTGGAAGACCTTCCACTGAATAGTGGTCAGCGTCACAGTGTAAGTGCCATCAGGATTAGGTTTGGGGTTCGGAGTTGGTTTGATTCCCTCAAATCTCTTGTTTTGTACCAGTATCGTCCACAAAGTCGCAGGTATTTGTAGAATATACTTACCACCTTCAGTGAAAACGAATACTCAAAAACAATTTCAAAAATACTTCCAAGACGTATATGAAACGGTAATAAATTTTTGATTAATTAAAGGGTAAATCTTTTGAAACAGTAAAAATTTTAAAGTAAAAATTCATACATAGATAAGAGCATACGTCGTAAGGAAATTTGTTAAAATGTAAAAAATAAGATCCAATTATTTGGAAGATCCAAACTGCTATCATTAAAGGCGATTTCAAAAAATAACTTGACTAAAAGGTGAAAACTACAAAAACCAAGTTTTTGTATGAAAAGTCATGCTAAATGAGTGGAATGCAACATAAGGCACATTTTGTTTCGAAATAAGAAATTTTGACGGCGGCCTTAACTTACTGGGCGCTTGGGTTACGGTAATATCTACTCCGGTCGGCTTTTCTTCTGGTTCCTGTCCAGGAGAAGGTTTTTCAAGTTCTGCTGGAACAGGAACTGCAGGCTTCTTCTGGTTCTCCTCGAACACCTTGAACTGAGTCGTAGTTAGCGTCACAGTGTAGCTGCCATCAGGATTGGGTTTGGGGTTTGGAGTTGGTCTGATTCCCTCAAATCTCTTGTTTTGTACCAGTATTGTCCACAAAGTCGCAGGTATTTGTAGAATATACTTACCACCTTCAGTGAAAACGGATACTTAATACAAGTCTCAAAATGCTACTAAGTTTATCGAACGGTAATACATTTTGGATTAATTATAAAGAGTAAAAATTTTGAAGTAAAAAGTCATACATAGAACATACGTCGTAAGGGAATTTGATAAAAATGTAGAAAAATACGATCCAATTATTTGGAAGATCCAAACTGCTATCATTAAATGCGATTTCAAAAAATAACTTGCCTAAAAGGTGAAATTTAAAAGGTGAAAACTACAAAAACCAAGTTTTTGTATGAAAAGTCATGCTAAATGAGTGAAATGCAAGATAAGGCACATTTTGTTTCGAAATTAGAAGTTTTGACGGCGGCCTTAACTTACTGGGCGCTTGTGTTACGGTAATTTCTACTCCGGTCGGCTTTTCTTCTGGTTCCTGTCCAGGAGAAGGTTTTGCAGGTTCTGCTGGAACAGGAACTGCAGGCTTCTTCTGGTTCTCTTGGAAGACCTTCCACTGAATAGTAGTCAGTTTCACAGTGTAACTGCCATCAGGATTTGGTTTGGGGTTCGGGGTTGGTTTGATTCCCTCAAATCTCTTGTTTTGTACCAGTATCGTCCACAATTGTGCAGGTATTTGTAGAACAGTCTTACCACCTTCAGTGAAAACGAATACTTAAAAAACAGTACTAAATATAAGGGGTTACAAATTTTGGGATAATTAAAGGTCATTACAAAGAACATACGTCGTAAAAAAGAATGGTTGTTTGTTGAACAAATACGAAAAAAATTCCTTGGAAGATTCAACCTGCTTCTTTTAAAGGAGATTTGAAAAAAGAATTCGATTAAAATGTGAAATAAGAAAAAACTTGTAAATTTTCTGTAGGAAAAGTCACATTTTTGATGAGTATCATCCACAAAGTTGCAGGTATTTGTTAAACTGGGTTACCACCTTCAGTGAAGATGTATAAGTTAACAGTCACAGCTGTACGTGTAAAGGATGTGGGATTATTTAAGTGTAAAGCTTGTCAAAGACTAAATCTATACAGAATTCAGGTGAACAAAATATTTGTTTGTTAAAGATATTATTTAAGCATGCACAGCTGCTTAAGAGATAACGAATGAAATATATTAAAAAGTCGAACGTTCGAAGTAAAGAATTAATTAAAGGGAAGGTCATGACGAGTAAATTTAATATTCGATGCAAAAAAGTGAAAGTCTGAGCAAAAAGGTCATTTTCGATACAATATTTTGAAGAGGAAGATGTGTTACTATGGCAAAGACGTACTGGGCTCTTTTGTTACGGTTATTTCTTCTGTGGGTTTATCTTCAGGTTTTTCAGGTTCCTTTCCAGGAGCAGATTTAGCAGGTTCAGGTTCTGCTGGAACAGGAACTGCAGGCTTCTTCTGGTTCTCTTGGAAGACCTTCCACTGAATAGTGGTCAGTTTCACAGTGTAGCTGCCATCGGGATTTGGTTTGGGGTTCGGAGTTGGTCTGATTCCCTCAAATCTCTTGTTTTGTACCAGTATCGTCCATAATTGTGCAGGTATTTGTAGAACAGTCTTACCACCTTTGGAAAGTCAACCACGGTAATGACTTCATTTTGTTATACATATTTTTCTAAGATTATGTTTCAAATTTCCCGGACAAACTTATTGTCTTTGGGGAAGAGTCTCACACACGTGAAGATGTCGCACGTGCGCAGAACGCACGTGCACAGAAAGGCACTACGGGGATCACGCAATGCCAGTAACATGCTTAAAAGATAAATGTGTTCTATAATTTAGTTAAAATTTCAAACCTGAGTAAAAAGGTTATGAATTTGGATAAGATTTAAGTTGCAACTTTTTCACTGTGCAACATTAACATGCTTTAAGTTGGAATGTGTGTACAGTAGTATAGTAAAGGGGATGCAAAGGGCATTTGAAAGCCAGAAACTGGCTTCGAGGTACAGGAAGATGATAACTGATAAGTTGGTAGAAGGGTTGCTTCTAAACGTACTGGGATCCTTAGTTACAGAGTAACATGCCTGCATAAAATCTGCAGACTTATAAAAGACGGAAACGTCTCATGGAGATCTTTATATAAAGTAGAAAAATTCGGTAATCTGCCGATGCACATCTGGGGCACACCTCGGGCACACCTCGGGCACAAACTCGGGCACATCTCGAGCACATCTCGGGCAGAAACATTTGAAAATTTGAATCATGAGATGCTGTATTACGAAATCTGCCTATTACATTAAAATTTAAAATGATTGTCGATATAGAAATGATAAAACAGTGTTAATTTTCACTGCTGGGGTTGCATGAAGAAGTGAATACATTTTTTAAAAGAAAACAAAAGTTCATTCCAAAACGTCAACGAAGACTGGTGTGAATGGGAAAAGGATCGTGCTTTGTCTCATTAACAAGCTGACTTTACGTACTGGGATCCTTAGTTACAGAGATCTCATCTGCTGGTTTATCAGCTGGTTTATCAGCAGGTTGATCAGCTGGCTTATCAGCTGGCTCTTGTCCATTATTTTTAGGTTCTGCTGGAACAGGAATTGGTGCCTTCTTCTGGTTGTCTTGGAAGATCTGCCACTGTTTAGGGGAGAGCTTCACAGTGTAACTGCCATCAGTATTAGGTTTAGGATTGGGTGTTGGCTTGATTCCGTCAAATCCTTTGTTTTGGATGATGATCTTCCACATTGCAGCAGGGATTTGCAAAACAAACTTACCACCTTGAAGATGTTATCGCGTTACTACACAGTAGTACTAGTTATAAGTACACAATTGCAAATAGCAATGCTTTTAAAATAAACATATTAACCATGCAAGGACATCGGATCTGATAATGGTGCTGATATCGGAGTAGCGCGAATGGTAGATGGCTTATTTTTGAGAAAGAGTTTGAAGTTATAGCGATCAGCACTAACAACTTTCACATAAACATACTTTAAAATAACTGAGCAAAAGTAACATGCCTACATAAAATCTACAGACTGAATGGTGAAAACGGCTCGCGGAGATTTTTAATCTTTATATAAAGTAGCAACATTTGAAAATGTGAATCACGAATTGCTGTCTAACGAAATCTGCTTATTTCGTTAAAATATAAAATGATATTCGATCGATGAAATACTACATGAAGTATGAGCAAGGCATGTGAAACAGTTCACTGTTGGGGTTGCATGAAGAAGTGTATAAATTTAAGTTTTTTAGAAAGTAAAAGTTCATTCCAAAACGTCAGAGGATCGTGCTTTGTCTCATTAACAAGCTGAATTTACGTACTGGGATCTTTAGTTACAGAGATCTCATCAGAGGGCTTATCTGCTGGCTTATCAGCTGGTTTATCAGCTGGCTTATCAGCTGGTTTTTCAGCTTCAGGTTTAGTAGCTTCAGGTTTAGCAGCTTCAGGCTTGGCAGCTTCAGGCTTGGCAGCTTCAGGCTTAGCAGCTTCAGGCTTAGCAGCTTCAGGCTTAGCAGCTTCAGGCTTAGCAGCCTCAGGTTTTGGTTCTTCGGCTGGTGCAGCATCATGAGCTTTGATCAATTTCTTCATGTTCTCCATGAAGATGTTGTAATGAATTGGGTTCAGCTTGAGATTGTAGCTTCCGTCCGAAATAGGATATGGGTTAGGTGTTGGTTTGATTCCTTGGAACGCATTGATGGTTTTGAGGATTCTCCACATGTTTCCGGGAATGTTTATGAGATATTTACCACCTAAAAACAAGTTTGTGAGAGCTAGATACAACATTTATTCTTGACATTAATTTCACGGTTTAAATTCGAATTAGAATATTCAATTTTACAGTCATTTAATTTGAATTTCACAGTTATTAATCTCGTTCAAGCATTGAAAATGATGGTTGAAGAATACTTTAGTTTAAACGTACGGTCTTTTTGGATGCGGATATGATCAAGGACCAATTGAGCTGGAGCTTTTTCTTTTTTCACAGCTGGTGCCGGCTCTTTCTTCTGAGCTGGAGTTTTCTCATCTTTAGGAGCCGGGGCAGGTTCGTCTTTGCTAGCTGGTTCTGGCTCTTGTTTTGTTTTAGGGGCCGCTTCATTTTTCAGAGTTGGTGTTGGCTCTTGTTCTGTTTTGGGGGCCGACTCTTCTGTAAGTGATGGAGTTGGCTCTTGTTCTGTTTTGGGGGCCGACTCTTCTGTAAGTGATGGAGTTGGCATATCCTTTGTTTCAGGAACAGACTCTTCTGCGAGCTGAGGAACATTTGAAGGTTTCTCAGAAGATGGTTCCTTTCCAGGCTCAGTTGCTGGGACAGGAATTGCGGGTTTCTTCTGGTTATCCTGGAAGATCTGCCACTGGGCAGGGGTAAGCTTCACGGTGCGACTGTCATCAGCATTGGGCTTGGGGTTGGGTGTTGGTTTGATTCCCTCAAATCTCTTGTTTTGAATCAGTATCGTCCACAACGGTGCAGGTATTTGCAGGACAAACTTACCACCTTGAATGAAAATGATTAGTTAAAAGGAATGATTTTCAATGGTTTCTTCATTTAATGACTCATGCATGAAGATGGATGCGATAATCTATATCTATATATAGAGCTAAATGATTCAGAACTTTATACAAACCTGCAATAATTAATCGTGGACTCAAAGAAGAGTAACACAACATATAAAACGGGGATGTTTAAGCCTAGCAACGATTAAAAAAAACTGACTTAGTAACGATGGATGCATGTAGGAGGAGTAAAATAATTTGTACAACGGGGATTATTGAGAGTAACAACGGTAAAAAACTTACTGCAGTAACAATGGATGCATGAGAGAAAATAAGAAAATAAGGAAGAAACAATTCGGCAGGTTAATCGGGCTCTTAGGAAGCAAAAGGACGACTTGCAAATTCCTCATGCGAGGTAACGTGAGAGGACTGTAAACATACTGGGATCCTTCTCTACGACGATGTTATCTCCGGGTTGGTCAGAGGGCACTTTCTTGGGAACGGAATCGTCTACTGGAACCAACATAGCAGGTTTCTTCATGTTGTTCTGGAAGATCTGATACTGTCGAGGGTTGAGTTTCACAGTGTAGCCGCCGTCAGGGTTAGGTTGAGCATTGGGAGTAGGTTTGATTCCTTTAAACCGTTCGTTGGTTTGCAGAGTTTTCCACAGAGACGCAGGGATTTGTAAGATGTAGTGTCCACCTTTGAGATAAATTGGTGTCTAATGCATGCGAGTACTATAACAGGTCATTTTAATTCATAACAAGACACAGTAAGACTTCATCTCCTGATGGAGAAGCGAAGGAAACGAAAAGGCATGTTCAATAATGCAGCTGGAGCAAAAAAACTTAACTAAGTGATCAAGGAAAAAAACTAAGGCGGTCATAACAATGCTTAGACATACGGAAGTCTTTCTCTATTTTAATCTTTTCATCAGGTTTTTTCTTCGGTGCAGGAGTAGATTCCTTAGGCTCCTTTCCAGGAGCAGGTTTCTCAGGTTCTTGTCCAGGAGCAGGTTTTGCAGGTTCAGGTTCCTTTCCAGGAGCAGGTTTTGCAGGTTCTGCTGGAACAGGAATTGCGGACTTCTTCTGGTTCTCCTCGAACACCTTGAACTGAGTTGTAGTCAGTTTCACAGTGTAACTTCCATCAGGATTGGGTTTGGGGTTCGGAGTTGGTCTAATTCCCTCGAATCTCTTGTTTTGTACCAGTATCGTCCACAATGGAGCAGGTATTTGTAAAACAGTCTTACCACCTTGGATGAAGACAAATAAATTCGAATACCTCTGGTCGATTGATAGTAATACATCAGTTACCAGTACTACTGGTAGTAACATGCTACTGATAAAAGAAGACTTTACCGGTCGGAACATACCGGTTTAGTCCTTTAAAAAGTATAAAGATAAGATGCCGCAGATGATTGTGATACAGATGAACTTTAACATTCGATGTTGAAAAGGTATCAAAACAAGAAACTTTTATTATTAGGAAACTTGGGCTGTTTTTAATTGTTATAAGCTAAAGTAGGTATTACTGTTGTCTAATGTAGAAGGTAGATTTAAGTTTAAAAGTGATACAAAGGACATTCGTCGTAACAAAGGTGAGTCAGTTTAGGAGCAAACTCAAAGATGCCAGTTAAAATAGTGCAATGTTTCCTAGAAAGAAAGGTTCAAAGTTATGAAATTTCTCCTAGGAAAGGTCATGTCAAGGGAGATAAAGCTATTGAAACGTACTGGGCTCTTTTGTTACGGTAATCTCGTCTACAGGTTTCTCCTCCGGTTTTTTAGGTTCCTGTCCAGGTTTTGCAGGTTCTGCTGGAACGGGAATTGCGGGCTTCTTCTGGTTCTCCTCGAACACCTTGAACTGAGTTGTAGTCAGTTTCACAGTGTAGCTGCCATCAGGATTAGGTTTGGGGTTCGGAGTTGGTCTGATTCCCTCAAATCTCTTGTTTTGTACCAGAATCTTCCACAATGGTGCGGGTATTTGTAGGACAGTCTTACCACCTTGAGTGATAACAAATACGTAAGTATGCTGCAATTCTCGAGTTTACTCATGTTGTTATCATATTAAAGTTTAAACTATCAATATGCTGCACAAAGTTAAAGCAAAACTGTTTTCTTATCTATATAAGAATAGAAATGGGGATAATAAATGCTCAAAAAGTTTGTGATCAGTGAAAAATGAGAGTCGAAGATGCAGACTGCTCCATTTAAAGTGAAATATTTGAAATGGGAATTGGACAGCTCGAAGTTTAAACAGCATATTATAAATGATGATTCTTGTTCGGAAAATATCATAGCAAGTGATTAAACGCTTAAATTATCATTCTGGATGCAATCTACTTTAAGATGGAAAGTTTAAACAGCGACTAAAACGTACTGGGCTCTTTTGTTACAATTATTTGGTCTACAGGTTTCTCCTCCGGTTTCTCTTCAGGTTTTTTAGGTTCCTGTCCGGGAGAAAGTTTCTCAGGTTCAGGTTCCTTTCCAGAAGCAGGTTTTGCAGGTTCTGCTGGAACAGGAATTGCAGGTTTCTTCTGATTCTCCTCGAACACCTTGAACTGAGTTGTGGTCAGTTTCACAGTGTAGCTGCCATCAGGATTGGGTTTAGGGTTTGGAGTTGGTCTGATTCCCTCAAATCTCTTGTTTTGTACCAGAATCTTCCACAATGGTGCGGGTATTTGTAGAACAGTCTTACCACCTTGAGTAATAACAAATACTTATACATTTATATCTGTTTCCATTGTAATGTTTTCACAGAAACCATCTAAATGTTGCAGAAAAAGGTAGCTATGTTCAACAAAGATGGATAAGACCTAAAGCATTTGATTTCAATATTGAAGATACAAATTATTTTTAAGATAAGAACATAGCAAATGCTTGAAAAATTATGGAACAGAACATAAGTGCAGCAGTAAAATTGTCGATGCAAGAATAAACAAAGTAGATAGGATTATTTGATTTGGGACTTTTTAAGGAGAATAGTAAAAATCTTTTATAGGGATCGGTGTGTTAAAAAGGGAGCCACCGCTCGATTCTGAAATATCAGACTCATAGAAGTCACTGCTTTCAAAACTTAACACACAATCAGGAAATTTGAAAGTGAAATTGTATTGCTTCAAAACTCGAAGTATTTCGTTTTTGACAGAGAACATATCATGACATTTAAGTAAAACAGTTATATTATCATTCTGGATGCAAATCTACTTTAGGATAGGATGTTATCATTGCAGCTAAAACGTACTGGGCTCTTTTGTTACGGTAATTTGGTCTACAGGTTTCTCCTCCGGTTTCTCTTCAGGTTTTTTAGGTTCCTGTCCGGGAGAAAGTTTCTCAGGTTCAGGTTCCTTTCCAGGAGAAGGTTTTGCAGGTTCTGCTGGAACAGGGATTGCAGGTTTCTTCTGGTTCTCCTCGAACACCTTGAACTGAGTTGTGGTCAGTTTCACAGTGTAGCTGCCATCAGGATTGGGTTTGGGGTTTGGAGTTGGTCTGATTCCCTCAAATCTCTTGTTTTGTACCAGAATCTTCATTAATGGAGCAGGTATTTGTAGAACAGTCTTACCACCTTGAGTGATAACAAATACGTAAGTATGCTGCAATTCTCGAGTTTACTCATGTTGTTATCATATTAAAGTTTAAACTATCAATATGCTGCACAAAGTTAAAGCAAAACTGTTTTCTATATAAGAATAGAAATGGGATAATAAATGCTCAAAAAGTTTGTGATCAGTGAAAAATGAGAGTCGAAGATGCAAACTGCTCCATTCAAAGTGATTCACGATGAAATAGTTGTAATGGAAATTGAATAGCTCGAAGTGATGTTTTTTTGTTAGGAAAATATTATGGCAAGTGAGTAAAACGGTTAAATTATCATTCTGGATGCAAATCTACTTTGGGATTGAAAATTTTCACTGAGACTAAAACGTACTGGGCTCTTTTGTTACGGTAATTTGGTCTACAGGTTTCTCCTCCGGTTTCTCTTCAGGTTTTTTAGGTTCCTGTCCAGGAGCAGATTTTTCAGGTTCCTTTCCAAGAGAAGGTTCCTCGGGTTCAGGTTCCTTTCCAGAAGCAGGTTTTGCAGGTTCTGCTGGAACAGGGATTGCAGGTTTCTTCTGATTCTCCTCGAACACCTTGAACTGAGTTGTGGTCAGTTTCACAGTGTAGCTGCCATCAGGATTGGGTTTGGGGTTTGGAGTTGGTCTGATTCCCTCAAATCTCTTGTTTTGTACCAGAATCTTCCACAATGGTGCGGGTATTTGTAGAACAGTCTTACCACCTTGAGTAATAACAAATACTTATACATTTATATCTGTTTCCATTGTAATGTTTTCACAGAAACCATCTAAATGTTGCAGAAAAAGGTAGCTATGTTCAACAAAGATGGATAAGACCTAAAGCATTTGATTTCAATATTGAAGATACAAATTATTTTGAAGATAAGAACATAGCAAATGCTTGAAAAATTATGGAACAGAACATAAGTGCAGCAGTAAAATTGTCGATGCAAGAATAAACAAAGTAGATAGGATTATTTGATTTGGGACTTTTTAAGGAGAATAATAAAAATCTTTTATAGGGATCGGTGTGTTAAAAAGGGAGCCACCGCTCGATTCTGAAATATCAGACTCATAGAAGTCACTGCTTTCAAAACTTAACACACAATCAGGAAATTTGAAAGTGAAATTGTATTGCTTCAAAACTCGAAGTATTTCGTTTTTGACAGAGAACATATCATGACATTTAAGTAAAACAGTTATATTATCATTCTGGATGCAAATCTACTTTAGGATAGGATGTTATCATTGCAGCTAAAACGTACTGGGCTCTTTTGTTACGGTAATTTGGTCTACAGGTTTCTCCTCCGGTTTCTCTTCAGGTTTTTTAGGTTCCTGTCCGGGAGAAAGTTTCTCAGGTTCAGGTTCCTTTCCAGGAGAAGGTTTTGCAGGTTCTGCTGGAACAGGGATTGCAGGTTTCTTCTGGTTCTCCTCGAACACCTTGAACTGAGTTGTGGTCAGTTTCACAGTGTAGCTGCCATCAGGATTGGGTTTGGGGTTTGGAGTTGGTCTGATTCCCTCAAATCTCTTGTTTTGTACCAGAATCTTCATTAATGGAGCAGGTATTTGTAGAACAGTCTTACCACCTTGAGTGATAACAAATACGTAAGTATGCTGCAATTCTCGAGTTTACTCATGTTGTTATCATATTAAAGTTTAAACTATCAATATGCTGCACAAAGTTAAAGCAAAACTGTTTTCTATATAAGAATAGAAATGGGGATAATAAATGCTCAAAAAGTTTGTGATCAGTGAAAAATGAGAGTCGAAGATGCAAACTGCTCCATTCAAAGTGATTCACGATGAAATAGTTGTAATGGAAATTGAATAGCTCGAAGTGATGTTTTTTTGTTATGAAAATATTATGGCAAGTGAGTAAAACGGTTAAATTATCATTCTGGATGCAAATCTACTTTGGGATTGAAAATTTTCACTGCGACTAAAACGTACTGGGCTCTTTTGTTACGGTAATTTGGTCTACAGGTTTCTCCTCCGGTTTCTCTTCAGGTTTTTTAGGTTCCTGTCCAGGAGCAGATTTTTCAGGTTCCTTTCCAAGAGAAGGTTCCTCGGGTTCAGGTTCCTTTCCAGAAGCAGGTTTTGCAGGTTCTGCTGGAACAGGGATTGCAGGTTTCTTCTGATTCTCCTCGAACACCTTGAACTGAGTTGTGGTCAGTTTCACAGTGTAGCTGCCATCAGGATTGGGTTTGGGGTTTGGAGTTGGTCTGATTCCCTCAAATCTCTTGTTTTGTACCAGAATCTTCCACAATGGTGCGGGTATTTGTAGAACAGTCTTACCACCTTGAGTAATAACAAATACTTATACATTTATATCTGTTTCCATTGTAATGTTTTCACAGAAACCATCTAAATGTTGCAGAAAAAGGTAGCTATGTTCAACAAAGATGGATAAGACCTAAAGCATTTGATTTCAATATTGAAGATACAAATTATTTTGAAGATAAGAACATAGCAAATGCTTGAAAAATTATGGAACAGAACATAAGTGCAGCAGTAAAATTGTCGATGCAAGAATAAACAAAGTAGATAGGATTATTTGATTTGGGACTTTTTAAGGAGAATAATAAAAATCTTTTATAGGGATCGGTGTGTTAAAAAGGGAGCCACCGCTCGATTCTGAAATATCAGACTCATAGAAGTCACTGCTTTCAAAACTTAACACACAATCAGGAAATTTGGAAGTGAAATTGTATTGCTTCAAAACTCGAAGTATTTCGTTTTTGACAGAGAACATATCATGACATTTAAGTAAAACAGTTATATTATCATTCTGGATGCAAATCTACTTTAGGATAGGATGTTATCATTGCAGCTAAAACGTACTGGGCTCTTTTGTTACGGTAATTTGGTCTACAGGTTTCTCCTCCGGTTTCTCTTCAGGTTTTTTAGGTTCCTGTCCGGGAGAAAGTTTCTCAGGTTCAGGTTCCTTTCCAGGAGAAGGTTTTGCAGGTTCTGCTGGAACAGGGATTGCAGGTTTCTTCTGGTTCTCCTCGAACACCTTGAACTGAGTTGTGGTCAGTTTCACAGTGTAGCTGCCATCAGGATTGGGTTTGGGGTTTGGAGTTGGTCTGATTCCCTCAAATCTCTTGTTTTGTACCAGAATCTTCATTAATGGAGCAGGTATTTGTAGAACAGTCTTACCACCTTGAGTGATAACAAATACGTAAGTATGCTGCAATTCTCGAGTTTACTCATGTTGTTATCATATTAAAGTTTAAACTATCAATATGCTGCACAAAGTTAAAGCAAAACTGTTTTCTATATAAGAATAGAAATGGGGATAATAAATGCTCAAAAAGTTTGTGATCAGTGAAAAATGAGAGTCGAAGATGCAAACTGCTCCATTCAAAGTGATTCACGATGAAATAGTTGTAATGGAAATTGAATAGCTCGAAGTGATGTTTTTTTTGTTATGAAAATATTATGGCAAGT